GAGAGAGGAGGTGGAGCGAGGAGGAGAAAGCAAGGGGAAGCCAGGAGGAACGAGGGCAGCGCGCGCGCACGTCAGAGCGGAGCGGGCAAGAGCTGACCGGGCGGAGGTCGGCCGACAGTCGTGCGCCGCCCGCTACGGCGGGCAAACTGAGCAGTGGGGGCGGGGCACGGAGCGAGGCGGAGGGCGTGTACAGTAGGAGCCCGACCACACGAAACCTTCCACAGGAAACCCAACCCTAAGACCCCAGGACGTCCGCTGATTTTTGGCGTGGGGACGTCACGCTTTCCATCGCAAGGCCCTCGAAACCCAAGGAACCCAGGGCACCCTGGAGGCAGGCAGGGCGCTTCTTGGCGTGGGTCTCCACTGTAGCACGGTCGAGGTTGATTGGAGACGACACGCGAAGGAACACGAGACCCTTCCGAGGTCCACATTGCCACAGGAATGTAAGGGCATGGGCCTCGAAGCACTGGACCCGAGGGCACCCTCGATTTGGCAGCGTCGACCTACCAGTTAACCCCAACCGTCGAGCGCGTGAAGCAGGGGTGCTTCTAAGCAGCCTTCTCCCTGCCCCTACCCCCCTCTGCGCGTGGCCGAATGAAGAAGGCACGCTGTCATGGGACATGTCAGATCAGAGGAAAAACCCTTGGCCAATGCAGGATATGAAAGATCTCCACGGTGAGCAACAAAAACAAAGAAGTACAATAGGTTGTCTGCAGACGAGGGCGCACAACAGTCGGCTCTTTCCCTCCCTGTCGGCCCTTTCCCTCCCTCCCTCCCAGATCCATGGCGCCCGAACGACAGTACGTTTGGTACAAGTTGCCCCAACAGGGGATCTGGAAACATTCACGCGGCCAGCCGACCTCGACCTTATACCTTGATCCGACTGCAGTGTTAGGTCGGGCATGTCCCCCTACAGGCGGATTTGGGACGAAAAGTACTCAGCTCAGCAACAACTCCAGACGGGTCAAACATAGTCAAAACAGATCGTCCCCAGACTATTTTCTGTGGAGTTTCCTCCTGCATCTCATGTTTAAACGATACTAAGTATTTTAAACTGCGCTTGAACTATGGATTTAAGAGTACTCTAAATTATGTTTTGAACTATCTAACAAATATGGTCTAAACTATGTCTTAAGCTATGGCTGAAACTATGTTTTGAGCGATTTAGGCCCGACTTAACTATGGCTTTAAACTAGGCTTCGCACTGCTCAGGCCCGCCTTACCCGCAGTGGACGCTGCGCGGCGCAGGCCGCCCCCCTCGAGGCGCAGGCCGCCCCTCGAGGGGCGCGCCCCCCGTGGTTGGACGCCCGAGTTATCCGGGGTAACTCGGGTCCGGGGTAACTCGGGTTTGAGTTCCCGAAAAAAAACGAACCCGAGTTAGCCCTGACCCCAGTTACCCCTGATGATTCGGGGCTCCGGACGCCCGAAATATCCAGGGTAACTCGGGTCCGGGATACCTCGGGTTCGGATTCCCGAAAAACGAACCCGAGTTAACCCTGACCCGAGTTACCTCTGATGATTCGGGGCTCTGACGTGGGGCGGCCGCGGGGCGCGCGGCGCGCCGCGGCAGGGCGCCCCCCGCGAGCGGGCCCCCCCGACGGGCGCGGTGGCCCCCGGGGCGACATGGGGCGGCCCGGGGAGCGCCGCGGGGCGGCGCGCGGAGCGCGCCCCTCCCGACGGGAGGCTTTGGTTGACGATTTGTGGCCTCTCCCCGACGGGAGGCTTTGATCATTTGTGTTTCCCCTGCCGCGTGGGTGGGGCGCCTCAGTCTCCATCACCACCGAGACGCTAGCGCCGCAGCTGGTGGCGGGCTGCGGGAACGACGGCCAGGGCCTCGTTCAGGTTGAGCGGGCGTGTGAGACGAAAACGCTTGGCTGATCATTTGTGTTTCCCCTCCTCGAGCTCTGCCAAGATCGCGACGGGACATTTTGTCACTACCTCTGGCCTCTGGGGGGGGCCCTCGCCAGCCCTCGGGACCGTCGGACCACGACGCGGGACGAAGAGCCGGTCCCGGGGAAGGGGTCCAGACCGCTGGGGGTCGACGCCATGAAAATCAAGGGGCCCAAGGACACACAAATAAATACACACAAAGCAAATGATTCCCCATATTTTTTCGTATTTTCTGGGTTTTTGCCCTCCGCCCAAATCCCCCATTTTCACATCTCGTCCTGGGAATCGACGACGAATTGTGTCTCTGTGTGTTTTTTCCCCTCCTGAGAAAAATTCACGACGTCGGGGGTCTGGGTTCCGCGAGGCCGCCGCGGGCAGCGCACGGAGCGCGCCACAGCCGGGCGGAGGCGCCCCTTGCGGTGGCCCCTGCCGAGTGCCCTGGGCACGAGGCGAGGGGCCTCCAGGTGCAAGCACCGCTGGTGGAGCAGGGGGGGGGGAGCCCAGAGCCCTGGGACACACACACACACACACACAAGGGAACGGGCACGACTCCCAGGACTCCCAAGACATACATCTCCCCGTAGCTTCTGGAGCTTCGGCTTCCCCCCCCCCGCTCCCCACACTTCCCATCCTTTCCCATGTTCTCTGGGAGGTCGACGATTAATTGTGTCTGCCTTAATTTGTGTCCCCTCCTGGTGCTCTGAGAACAAAGTAAGAAGCCCCAAATGCAAGCACTATTGGGGGAGTATTGGATACACACGAGACTAAACACATGGGTAGACCTGAGAAGACCCGGCAACAGAAAGAGAGACGAGGGGAGCCGAAGGGAAGAAGACTCAGATGGGGAGCGGTGCCCCCTCTTACATCATGTTTGGATACAGCACGACGCAAGTGGAGCCTGAGCAGGAACCACTGCCACATGAACTGGTGCCGAACACAAGCTGGGAAAAAAACTAGCACACCGACCAGTGGACGAAACGCCAAACAGCAAGAGATCCACGTGCGCAGACCGAGACAACGCATAAGATGATGCATGTGCCGACGATGATCGGGAGCGGCCAAGAGGGGGGTGTCCAAGAAGGGGGGGTGCAAATCATGACCATCGGCACGTGCGCGGCCCAGCGGGGGGGCCAGGGACGTAACGAAATGAGGAGAGGCGCCATGAAATCTGGGAAATATCATGGCCCCCGCCATGATATCCCCCCCCCCTAGTCATCACCCCCCTCTTTGCCGCCCCCGAGATGGATGAGAGTCCAAATTTCTTCACGCAGCGCAGTACCGGAATCTGCTGTCCTGCGCCTACCGTGCAGCTGCGGCTCTGTACCATCGGGAGCAGCCTCGGCACGTGCCCTCCAGTGACCTTCCTCCCCCCGCCCACAGCGATCACAGCTCGCAGCAGCACGGCTACTGGCAGGAGCGGAGGGAGGAAAAGGAGGACTAGAGCAAACCAAAGAAGCATCAACGGTGTTGCAATAATCCCTACCTCCGAGCTCCCTCTTCATAAAACCCTGGAAGACTGTATTTGTGCCGCGGGAAGAACAACACTGCTCGACAACAACATGAGAACCCTCCGTCGTGCCGAAGCACCAGTCCTGGGACTTGAACGCCGCGAATCAACGTGACTGTTGTTGCGTTCTGACAATCATAGACCGTGCCAAGACAACTTCAACGCCTGAGAAATCATGAATCGTGCCAGAACGCTATTCCTGGGCTAAAACGAAAGCCTCAATTTGAAGAGGGACCTGCCTCCTTCCTTGAAACTGCCGCAAGCGTTCAAGACGGATGCGCGCGACACGAAAGCGAGACTCACATGTTGAAAACGACCCGTGTTCAATCCTTCAAAACTGTTGCACTTGCCAGCTTCGGGCCTCGGGCGAAACGCCAAACCTGGCCCACCGGCACGCCCGGGGGCGCGACAGGGAAGAACCGTGCACGAGGAACAAGCGGAGGAGGAGGAGGAGGAGGAGGAGAAGGAGGAGGAGGAAGAGGAGGAGGAGGAAGAGGACGAGGAGGAGGAGGAGGAGGAAGAGGAGGAGGAAGTGGAGGAGGAGGAGGAGGAGGCGGAGGAGGAACAGGGATGGGGCAGGGGGAAGAGCCGCCGCGCCTGCACACACACACACACACACACCGCCTCTGCCTGCCTTTCTCGAGGCCCCCGTGCCCCCGGCGCTTCCCCCGTCCACCCTCCCCCCCCCCCTGGCAGCACGCGCGCGCCGCCGCTCCCGCTCTCGTCGCAGGGCGAGCGTCGAGGAGCGGCCTCGCCTCACGGGCGACCGCCGGCGGCGCCGCGCCGGGGGGCAGCGCGGCGAGCGCGGGCCTGGCGCGGAGGTGGGGCGAGGACGAGGACGAGGGCGGGGACGACAAGGGTGCGGTCAGGCATGAGTATGACAAGCAGGGGGGGGAGGAGGAAGAGGGCGACGACGACGAAAACGCGGAGGGAATAGGAAGGAAAGGACAACGCTGCTGGCGCTAAGGGCACGCGCATGAAGCGCACGAGGCCTCTGGCATTTTGAAGCCACCCCCGAGCTGACCATGGTTTCCCATGGCTTCGTGGTCCTCCTCCCTGCTCCTGCTCTGTCTCCTATTCCTCCTCCTCCTCCTCCTCCTCGTTATCCTGCTCCTGCTCCTGCTCCTCCTCCTCAATCCTCCTCCCTCACCCCTCCTCCCTCATCCTCCTCCTCCCTTCCCCTCTCCCTCACGCCTCCTCCTCGTTCCTTTGTCTGCCCGTGATTATTCCCGCTCCCCCTCCTCTCGTCCGCGCGCGCGCGGGGATGGAGGATTGGCGTTTTCACGAGACGGAATTCGCCTTCCCCCCGTCGCCCGATGACCCTGTAAGTGTGTCCGCGACTCTCTTTGGCATGGCCGGGGATGGACAGAGTAAGCAAGGGTGGGAAGCAACGGCAGCAGCAACGCCTGCGGAAGAGACGGAGGGAAGGGACGGCGGACGAGCAGCGCCAGCAGCAGGGAGGAGGACGATGTGGAGAAGGAAGGACGACGTCGGTGTGGGAGAGGGGTGATGATCGGAGGTGGGGACGAGGAGGCGGCGGAGGAGGAGAAGGCGGAGGCAGAGACCGAAGCCGAAGCCGAGGCGGAGGTGAAAGGTGAGGGGGCGGAGGCGGAGGTGGAGCAGCAGCAGCAAGGAGCAGGGGAGAACAGAGCGGCAGGAAGTGCTCTCACTTTCTCGCGGCACGCCGGAGGGAGGCGCCCCAGCACACGGGCGAGCTCCGGAGCCCAGCGTTGGAGGGCGGTCATGACCAAGGCTAGGGAGATAGAGACAGGCACATCCCCGCATACCTTTCGTCGTCGTCGTCGTCCTCCTCCTCCTCCTCCTCTTCCTCCTCCTTGCATCAAGGTAAAACATAGCAGCATCGACATCAACATCATCCGCAACATCAGCATGATCATCATCAGCATCAACCGCTTCATCAGCATCGCAATCAACATCACCATGATAACCATCAGCATCATCACTATCACCATGACCATCTCCATCAGCATCATCATCGACATAATCATCATCAGCACCACCATCAATACAGCCCACATCCTCATCCCTGTCCTCATCATCATCATCACCATCACCATCAACATCATCACCCTCATCACCCTTCTCCTCCTCCTCCTCCTCCTCAGTATCATCATCATCATCATCATCATCATAATCATCATCATCATAATCATCATCAACATCAGCATCGTCATGTTCCGCATATTCATCGTCCCCATCATCATCACCATCATCATCGTCGTCATCATCATGATGCTCATAATTATCCTCATCATCAACAACATCATTATCATCAACAACAACATCATCACCATCATCGGCATCATGATGATCATCATCACTATCACCATCTTAACCAGCAACATCATCATCAGCATCATCATAATCCTCATCCGCATCATGATTCGTAGTCTCTTTATCCTTATCATCCTCTAAAGCGAACGCCGCACCCGACAGACGTCAGGCGCGCGCGACCGCTGGTCAGAACACCCAGCGGGGCGCCAGACGAGCGACGGGGTGGACACGGGTAAGCTCGCTGGCACCCCCCAAGCGGAGAATAGGGAGTCCCGAAACGGTGAGGTGACAGACCGTGCGGTGACCTCGAAATCCCCCAAAACCTCACCGCACGGTCCGTCACCGCACGGTCTTGGGATCCCGGAGGCCCCTGTCGCCCAAGACATCCTCGGAGAACGACCCGAGTCCCATAACAGTGCGGTGACCCCGAATCCCCACCGACTCACCGCACGGTGTGGTCACCACCCCGTTTGGGGGCCCCCGAGGACAAAGGAGGCGGGCTGCGACTCCTTGGATCGGGGGCGCGCAAATGTGGATAAGCGATCCATGGAGCTGGCGCGCGGTCGCCAAATCCATGGATCGGGGAGGCGCCCTCCCCAAAATGCGGCCGGTGCCGCCTCGCTCGGCGGCGGAAATCCGCGATTCCACATGGAAACGGGACCCGTCGCTAATCCACGCCCCCTTGATCCATGTTTGCGATCGCCTGATTTGAGCGGGGACCGACCGCCCTGGCAGTCCTATAGGCCTACCAAGAAATTGTCTTGGAGCCCCAACCTGTTCTAAGAACAGAGACAAATGCTCTACACAAGCCCGGTGTGATAAAACAAGACAGTCCCAGCCAGAAATGTTCTAAGAACATGTCGTGGGAACCACACAAGGTTCTGAGAACTCGGGAGCGGCCAAGAGGGGGGCGTCCAAGAGGGGGGGTGCAAATCATGAACGGCGGCATGTGCGCGGCCCAGCGGGGGGGCCAGGGACGTAATGAGATAAGAAGAGGCGCCATGAAATCCAGGGAAATATCATGGCCCCCGCCATGATATCCCCCCCCCCCTAGTCATCACCCCCCCCCTTCTCCGCCCCCGAGATAACATTTTGGTGGGGCTATAGGCGAGCCGGGACGCTTCGCCACTGCTTGACCGCGAGGAGCGCGGCCAGCGCACGCACTGGCGAGCGAGTCGCCGTGGCCCAGAGACTCGCGGACTCGCCTGCCCTGGCCGCTGGCCTTGCCGCCTCTCGTCGTCTGCCCCGGCCGTCGGCCCGTGGGGCCTGCCTTTCTGCGCCGCGGGGCCGGCTGCTTGACCAGGGGATCGCGTCGGTCCTGCTCGTCCTCGTCCTCGTCTTCCTCCTCCCTCATCATCATCATCACCATCATCATTAAATTCTTCCTCCTCCTCCTCCTCCTCCTCCTCTTCCTCCTCCTCCCCCTCACCGAGCCTCATACTCATTCCCATCCTCATCCTCACCAGCCTCATCGTCATAATCCTCCTCTTCGCCCTCATCCTCATGCTCGTCCTCGTCCTCGTCCTCATCCTAATCCTCATCCTGCTCCTGATCCTCATCCTCGTCCTCCTCCTCCTCCTCCTCCTCATCCTACTCCTCCCCCTACGCATCATCAACATCATCCTCATCATCAGCAGCAACAGCATCAACAGCACCATCATCATCAGCAACATCATCGTCATCACCGTCACCATCATCATGATGATCAGCATCAGCATCAGCACCAGCAGCAGCATCAGCATCATAATCAGCATCATCATCATCAACAGCATTATCAACATCATCAGAATCAGCACCAGCACTATCATCATCATCATCATCAGCAGCAGCATCATCATCGTCATCAGCATCAGCATCATCATTATCATCTACACCTTCATCCTTCTCACCAGCATTAGCATCATCAACACCGTCATCATCAGCAGCAGCATCAGCATCAGCATCAGCATCATCATCATGATCATCATCATCATCAGCAGCATCATCCTCATCATCACCAGCATCACCATCCACCCCCTTCCTCCTACTGATCCATCTTTTCGTATCCCACAGCTGCACAACAAATGAGTACTACCCTATTATCTCCCTGAATTTCGTGCTAGGTTGACAAAAGTATCCCGTATACGCTTGTTTTACACTCAGGATGGGTCCGAGTGGCACTTGTCGATGTGGTGTGTCACTCGAACTCTGTTGTCTTTGACAAGTCGTGACAAAGCTGGTGCGTTCGCCAAATCCCACGATGACCCGAGAACCTCCGTCTAACGGAACGGTGGTGCAGCCGCAACGATGGTAGCGGTGGTTGCACTCGCGCACTCAATCGGAACATGTGATGCCTTTGCATAATGGTATTATCGCCAATGCGCTTGCCCGATTTGTTTTGGCCAGGGAACCTCCGTGAAATGGAACGACGATTTCGCCGCAGATGTGACAGTGCTGGTCGTACTCCTGCATCAGTGCAAATCATGATCCGTCTGCGTGGCTTGCCACACATCTGCATGTCCGTCGACGTCCAATGCATCAGTACTCTCGCCGCAGCGCTGACCGCAACTCTGCACAAGCGAAATTGGTAAGTGGTGATCCCCCTGCAACGTGTGCCACCCTGATTTCCGGTAGAGATTCCAGTTGAACGTCCGGGAGACGTAAGACTCGGATACGGGGGACTCGGGTTGGCCTGACGGGGCCATCATAAAAATGAAGAGACCCAACCTAAAATTTGACGCGAACTCCCGCTCCAAAGATCCCACGAAAACCGCACCGTCAAAATGGTCGGCAAACCCGAGTTCTGGCTTACTCGAGTCCCACGTTTAGGTCGGGCGTGTCCTCCTACAGGCGGATTCTCGAAGACAAATGAAATAAAACAGAAAAGGCTACGAGAAAGAGTCCACAATAGTCAAAAAAACGTCCCCATACTTCTTCTGTTCAGAACTATGTACAAATCTTCCTCCTGTAGAAGTACAGGCCCGACCTAACCCGAATTCCGGCTTTCTCGGGGACTGTGGCAGGGAAAGGAGGAGGAGGCGGAGGAGGAGGACGAGGAGGAGGACGAGGAGGAGGAGGAGGACGAGGAGGAGGAGGCAGGAGGAGGAGGCAGGAGGAGGAGGCAGGAGGAGGAGGAGGCAGGAGGAGGAGGCAGGAGGAGGAGGAGGAGGAGGCAGGAGGAGGAGGAGGCAGGAGGAGGAGGAGGAGGAGGCAGGCAGGCAGGCAGGCAGGCATCAGCAGCAGGAGGAGGAGGAGGAGGAGGAGGAGGAGGAGGAGGAAGAGGAGGAGGAAGAGGAGGAGGAAGAGGAGGAGGAGGAGGAGGAGGAGGAGGACGGGCTCCGGCTTGCTCGAGCCCTGCGTTGCCCCGACCACGGAGCGGGGCCCGCCGCCGCGGCGCCGGCCGCCCCCCCCCCCCTGCCCCTCCGCACCTGCTCCGCGTGCCCCCCCCCCCATACATAGGGGGCAAACAAACCTACCTCGCTTTTGACCACCCTCGCTTCCAAGAGATACCAAGCGATGCCAAATTGCAGCCTGTACTGATCAGGCCGCTTGACGAGGAGGCACGTGGTATGGCTTGGTTTTGCCTGGAAGCGAAAGCGGGGTAGGTCATTCACGCTCTGAATACAGTCGGGGCGTTGACCTAAGGAACCCTAAATAAGGAACGAGGCCCCTTTTTTTCCATAAGTTAACCTTCGATCTCCTGTCGAAGACATAAGGAAAGCCCGAGGCAAGCTGCGAAACACTCCAGGAACACGGAGCCCCTCCCCAACGAAAAGGGTTCCTTCCTCAGTGCCCCGACTGTAAGAAGGGCGGTCTCCGCGTGCCGTGCCGTGGTTTCTGCTGCTGCGCGTGCCGTTGGCAGCCAGGTGAGCTCTGCTGGTAGCCCTCGAAGCTATGCCGGCGGTCCCCGGGGGGGGGAGGGGCGGGGGGCAGGGGTTTGGACGCCCGAAATGGGTACCGAAAAAATGGATACAACGCCCAACAGCAAATGTTGTCCCAAACCAACAGCGGCCGCTGTTGTGCAGGCGGCCCTCTGTCTCAAATGGACACAGGCCGGGGCGGCGTGGACAGAGAATCCTGTTCAAAATGAGCAGAAACTGCTGTTGGGCATTGTACCCATTCTTTCCGTACCCATTTCGGGCATCCAGAAAGGGGGAAGAAGCTGTGGCCTTCTATAGGCCACCTTCGCTTCACAAAGGGCAGAAGATCCACCCCGACAGTCACCACCCGGACACGCGAAGCCGTTTAGGAAACACGCCCAGGGCCGTCTAGTAAACGCCAATGGTCCGGGCCGGGTGGTTCTTCCTGCCTTGACTTAAGGCTCAAGGACATGTTGGCCTCCTGCGCGCAGGCCGCCACGGGGGGCGCGCCCAGCAGTCGTCGGGCGTCGGGAGAGACCGCGGGGAGCCTGGATTCTTTCCCGGCGCCCGACTCCACGAATAAGATCAGGTCGGGCATGTCCTCTTGCAGGCGGGCGTTCGACGAAAAGCATAAAAAAAGATAGCCAAACAAAGCGCAGTAATAGTCAAACAAATAGTCGCAACATCGTCCTCACACATTTTTTTCAAACTGGTTTTGAACATCCCTCCTGTAGAGGGACGTGCCCGACTTACGAATAGGAGCACGCTTCCGCAAAGCGGGGAGGGAGAGGGAAAGGGATCCTGAGGATATTCTCAGGAATCCGATGCACTTACGTCCGATGGATTTTCTCAGGAATCCGAAGCACTTCCTAAGGAATCCGATGGACTTCCTACATGAGGCGCTCCATGATTTCCTGAGGATTCCTATGGATGGGGGAGGCTTCCGCCAATGCGCCGTCTAGGTGCGGCTTCGTGTGTGTGTGTGTGAGTGCGTGTGTATTGTGTGTTGTGTGTTGTGTGTTGTGTGTTGTGTGTCGTGTGTTGTGTGTGTGTGTGTTGTGAGTTGTGTGGTGTGTGTTTGTGTGTTTGTGTGTTTGTGTGTTGTGTGTTGTGTGTTGTGTGTTTGTGTGTTTGTGTGTTTGTGTGTTTGTGTGTTGTGTGGTGTGTGTTGTGTGGTGTGTGTTGTGTGTTGTGTGTTGTGTGTTGAGTGTTGTGTGGTGTGTGGTGTGTGTTGTGTGTTGTGTGTTGTGTGTTGTGTGTTGTGAGTTGTGAGTTGTGTGGTGTGTGCTGTGTGTTGTGTGTTGTGTGTTGTGTGGTGTGTGGTGTGTGTTGTGTGTTGTGTGTTGTGTGTTGTGTTGTGTGGTGTGTGGTGTGTGGTGTGTGTTGTATGTTGTGTGCTGTGTGTTGTGTGTTGTGTGTTGTGTGTTGTGTGTTGTGTGTTGTGTGTTGTGTGTTGTGTGTTGTGTGTTGTGTGTTGTGTGTTGTGTGTTGTGTTGTGTGTTGTGTGTTGTGTGTTGTGTGTTGTGTGTGTGTGTGTTGTGTGTTGTGTGTTGTGTGTTGTGTGTTGTGTGTTGTGTGTTGTTGTGTGTTGTGTGTGTGTGTGTTGTGTGTTGTGTGTTGTGTGTTGTGTGTGTTGTGTGTGTTGTGTGTTGTGTGTGTGTGTGTTGTGTGTGTTGTGTGTGTTGTGTGTGTTGTGTGTGTTGTGTGTGTTGTGTGTGAGTGTGTGTGTGTGAGTGTGTGTGTGAGTGTGTGTGTGTGTGTGTGTGTGTGTGGGGGGGCCTTCCGCGCAGCGGGGAGGGGGGAGGGGGGGCACGGGCAGGTCGTCGGCGGACGTGGGGCGAGCGCGCCCGGCGTACCCTTCGCCCGCGGCGGAGAGTACGGCAAGCATGGGCAGCAGCTCGCGGGAGCCCCCCCAGAAGAGGGCGGCGTCCAAGAGAGGGGGGGAGGCGCAGATCATGGCCGGCGGCACGTGCGCGGCCCCGGGGTGTGGGGGGGGGGGAAGGGACGTCAGGAGATAAGAGGAGGCGCCGTGGGATCGGAGGAGACATGATGGTCCACGCCATGATATCCCCCCCCCTAGTCACGACCCCCTTCTTTGCCGCCCCCGAGCATACTATCTTGTCGGCCCTTGCGAATCGACGCTGATCGACGCCAAATCGACGCGAATCGACGCTACATCGACGCAAAGTCGACACTAAGTCGACGCTGGCCGAAGTTCAATCGGCGCCATCTCATCGACTCCAAGACGCGAGTCGACGCCAGTCGACGCTGAAGACAGGATTAAATGGGTCCACGGACTGGCTCCCGAAGCAAAGTGACAACACCAACAACTCAGAATCGGCCCCCGTATCCTGAGCAGGGACTGACCGCCCGGGCATCCCTGTAGGCTCACAACGAAATGTTCTTAGGACCCACGCGTGTGATAATATATACACAAGGTTCTTAAACATAAGCCAGATGTGTCAAAACAAGACAGACTCAGCCAGAGATGTGCTAAGAACATTGCAGGCAGACCACAACAGGTTCTTACGTAGAGCATTAGTTGGTGATCATATAGGCGAGCTAGGACGCTTCGCCACTGCTTGAGTATCCCTCCCAGGGCCTGCACGCACCAGCTCTCCTAGCTGCGCCCGGCCGCGGCGAAGAAGGGCCCTGCCCCCCAAGGCCTGCAACCGCTGCCTCAACCCGCCCTCCTCTGACCACCGCCCCCTCCCTGGGCGCCCAGGTAAGTAAGGTACTTGGGCACTGGAAGGAGGAGAAGGGAAAGGACGAGGAGGAGGAGGCGGAGGAGGAGGACGAGGAGGAGGAGGAGGAGGATGAGGAGGACGAGGATGAGGACGAGGAGGAGGAGGAGGAAGAGGAGGAGGAAGTGGAGGAGGAGAAGGAGGAGAAGGTCATCCCCCGCAGGGAACGGGCCCCCCCACCCCTCGGCGGAGCCGGCACCGCAGGGCTTCCAGCGGGGCACGGGCGCGCGCACGATGGGGGGCATCGCCTGCCGACCTCGCGCTCGGCGGGCAGCGCGTCCGGAGGGCGGCAGGGGCTGGCAGCGGCAGCGAGAAATCCCCCGACTGGCCGCCGGGGGGCGGGCGGAGGAGGAGGAGGAGGAGGAGGAGGAGAAGGAGGAGGAGGAGGAGGAGGAGGAGGAGGAGGAAGAGGAGGAGGAGGAGGAGGAAGAAAGGGAGGAGGAGGAGGAGGAGGAGGAGGAGGAAGAGAAGGAGGACGAGAGGAGGACGAGGAGGAGGGAGGAGGAGGAGGAGGAGAGGAGGAGGAGGAGGAGGAGGAGAATAGGATAGGACTGGCCTCAATGGGGGCCGCGCCGCCGTCCCAGGGACAGAGGCGCGGCCCCCAAAGGAGTTTGCTCTGCCGCAGGCTCGGCCGCCGCGCGCGGGCCGCGAGGCAGTCTCAGCGACGAGGAGCCCCAAGACCGAAACCCAGACAGGCTTCCGCCCCGACCTTGCCCCTCCAACGGAGGCGCAAGGCCAGGTAGAGACCAGCCCCGCGGGGACAAAAGCAGGCAACCCCAAGCAGCCGCCAGCGGCCGCCCCCACCCCCAGCGGGGACGCGAGTTCGCACAGTAAGCGCGAGCCCGAGCCCGAGCGGCGCACCCCCTCAACCCACGCAGGGGGGGGGGCCCGCACAAAATTTCGAGACGAACCCAGCAGGCCCAGCCGCGCTCGGGCCGCAGCACCCGCCTCAACCCACAGCGCTCCAGGCGAGCGCGGGATTCTCGTTCCGCACCTCGCGGAGGGCGCTCGCGGCCTCGGGGCCCTGGACCGCCAGGGCGCTCCACGTCGCGGCGCAGGCGGCGCACGGCCAGGAGGGCCCGCGGCGTCTCCATGTCGAACGCGCCCAGGGGGCCTTACACGCCCAGGCAGCGCGGGGATCTGCTCGAGCAGCTCCTCGCGCTCGGCCGCCTTGGCACCGCCCTCCGCGTCCAGCACCTCGTTGAAGCCGCCGCTGTCGCCCTGCACCGCCTTCTCGATGTGGAGCACGCTGCCTTGCGCCGTGGACGGACCATCTCCGCCTTCCGCCGCGCCTCGTACTCGTCGTGCCCCTCCACTTCCTCGTCATTGCTGGCTCAACTGGCGGCCGCGGCGGCCGCCCAGCGGGCAACCGGAGTGGTCAAGTCCAGCTGCAGCTCCGCGCCGAGCGACTCGAGCAGCAAAGCGGGCACGTCCAGCCGCTCACGAGTCGGAGTGCGGAGCACAAGGCAGTCAACAAGCTCACACAGTGCAAGCTTCCCCCCCAGGCCTCAAAGAGCGGACCCGGGGGAACGCGTGAGGTTTCCTCAGGTTTCCTTAAGAGTGTAAGGGCCAGGACCTAAAAATCCTTGTGTTCGCGGGAGGAGGAGGAGGAGGAGGAGGAGGAGGAGGAGGAGGAGGAGGAGCAGGAGGAGCAGGAGGAGGAGGAGGAGGAGGAGGAGGAGGAGTACAGTCGGACCTAGACGAGAAGAACATCACTCGAGAACATGGGACCCTCCGTCGGCCAAAACAAAAAGAACATCCAAGGGAAACCTCCCCCATGGTGCACAATAACCTCCAAGGGGCACGAAGAACACTAGGGTACCCTCCCCGAACCGACTTCGACCGTATACCTCGGCAGGACTGTAGGAGGGGAAAGACGAGGAGGAGAAACAGGAGGAGAAGGAAAAGGAGGGGAGGGTCAGGAGGAAGAGGAGGAGGAGGAGGCCGACGACGAGATAGCAGGAGGGCGAGGAACGAGGAGGGAGGGGGAGGTGGAGAGCGAGGACGACGATGACGACGGCAACGATGACGAGAGAGACGAGGACGAGGACGAGGACGAGGGCACATTGCTGCTTGCTGCCGCAGCGCCGGCCGCCCCCAGAGCACAGGGGTGAGACGGTGGCGGGGCGCCCCTCGGGGGCTGCCCCGCCAGGATCCTCAAGGAGGCCCTGCGCCTCACGCGGCCAGGGGCCTCCCTCGCCACTGCTCATCCGCCCTACTTCCTGGCCCCTCCCACCTGCTGCATGTGCGCGTTACCGATGTCGTCTGCTTCGCGGCAATCGACTCACTCACTTGTCGTACTCGTCGTCGTGTTGGCGTCGCTGTTGCGGTTCGTGCTCCTCCATCCTCCCGAATCCTCCTCCTCCTCCTCCTCCTCCTCCTCCTCCTCCTCCTCCTCCGTCCGCCTCCTCCTCCTCCTCTTCTTCCTCCTCCTCGGCCTCCACTCCTCCTCCCTCCCTCCCCCACCCTCTCACGCCGTCTCCCTCCTGTCTTCGCCCTGCCTCCTCCTCCGATCTCCTTCCTCCAAAAGCCTCCTCCATCATCTTCCTCTGTGAGAGAGTCCCCCCTCCCCAATTACACAACATGCGTACCACTCTCCTCTCTCCCCTGCTGGCGTCCCGGAAAATGTTCGGCCCCCCTCCGCGTACTGTTTTGTTTACACACCGGATGCCCGGGAGTTGGGTTTTCGCTTGGGTCTGTTGTTCAAAATGCTGCTCTCGCTGGAGCGCTGGCCTCATTTTCGGGCTTCCGCCCGTTCCGGATCGTGCTCCCGCTGAAGCGCTGGCCTCATTTCCGCGCTTCCGCTCGTTCCGAATCGTGCGCCCGCTGCAGCGCTGGCGTCATAATTTCAAGCGCCATGCCACGGCATGGCTTTCGGACCTTCAAGACAGGCCCCAAATCTAGAACATGCCCCCCGAGCAAAAACATCCGAATGGATTACACATTCGGTGCCGATTCGTTGATTTTTCTGTTCGCAGAACCCCCCCACTTTGGGGCGTCGCCACGCCATGCTATGTCAGGCTACGCGTTCTCTGAATCGTGCTCCCGCTGCAACGCTGGCCTCATTTCCGCGCTTCCGCTCGTTCCGATTCGTGCTCCCGCTGCAGCGCTGGCGTCATAATTTTAAGCGCCATGCCACGGCATGGCTTTCGGACCTTCAAGACAGGCCCCCAAAATAAAACAAACAAAAACGAAACATCCATCGGAACTGATTACACATTCGGTGTCGATTCGTTGATATTGGGGGCCGCGGAAGCCCCCCCCCCACCTTGGGGCGTCGCCACGCCATGCTATGTCAGGCTACGCCATGGTCTTCAGCACCATGCTATGCCATGTAATGCTATGCCCTGCTACGACATCCAACTGTGCGAACAAAGAGGAGATCTACGCCATTGTAAGGGATGGGAGGGAGGGGTAGGACGTCAGACATGACGCGAGCGCACCAAGCTTGCCCCTCCCCCCCCCCTCCCCCCTCCCCCCTCCGCCTCCTCCTCCTTCTTCTCCTCCTCCTGCTCCTCCTCCTCCTCCTCTTCCTCTTGCTCTTCCTCCTCCTCCCCCCCTGTGCCCCCTCCCTGTGCCCCCTTCCCCTCTCCCGTCGGGCCCGCTCGGAATGATGCAGCCGCTCCGCCGGATCGGCGGGGGGCGCCGGGCGCTGCCGCGGGCCGGCTCGGGCGCGGGCGGGCCAGCTGGCCCTCAGCCCTCGTCGTCGGAGTCCAGGGGCTCGTTGTAGGTCTCGTCGCACTCCCGCAGGACGCTCCTCCGCGCAGAAGGCATGCGCGCGCACCCCGCAGTGCCCGGCCAGGGCCATCCTGGGCCCCGGCGGGGTGCATGCAGAGGAGGCCACTCCACGAGGAACCTCCCACAAGAAACCCAACCCTGAGGCCCCAGGAGGTCCGTTGATTTTTGGTGTGGGAACGTCACGCTTGCCATGGCAAAAGCAACGCAACCCAAGAAATCCGGGGCAGCCCGAAGGCAAGCAGGGTGTTCCGCGGCATGGGCCCCCACTGTGTGCGCCCTCCTGCCCGGAAGGCCTGCGGGCATCCCTGAGGCCCAGGATGGCCCTGGCCGAAAACGGTAGCCGTGCACGTGGTTCCCTCCCGCGGCTCCTCTCCCAGTCACGAGTGAGCTCCTCTCGGCGGCACGCGGAACAAGGACGAGGGGAGAGGGGGAGGAGGAGGAGAAGGCGGAGGAGGAGGAGGAGGAGGAGGAGGAGGAGGAGGACGACGAGGACGAGAACGAGGAGGAGGAGAACCAGTGTAAACCCAAGAGTCGCCAGCGATGTTGGCCCTCCAGGAAGGCCGGCGGCCTCCCTTCTCGAGAGGGGCCGAGAGGCCCTCTCGGAGGCCGTGCGCTCCCCCCGCGCCCCCCGCCAGGGAGGCGGCGGGGGCCCCGCAGGCCCGGGCGTGCTGCCACTCGTGCGCCACGGGCGCGTCCGCCCGGCTGCGGGGCCCGGGGGGCCCTCGCGGGTCGACCTGGCTCGAAAGGTCGGGGGCGGGGGCGTCCAAGAAAGAGGGGGGGGGGGGGGGCGCAAGCCATGGCTGGCGGCACGTGCGTGGCCCCGGGGGGGCTGGGGACGTAGTGCAATAAGAGGAGGCGCCGTGAAAAACATGGGGAGGTATCGTGGCCCACGCCATGGAATCCACCACCCCGAGTGGCCACCCCCCTCTTGGCCGCCCCCCAAAACGACGCAACAACATGGGGTCCGGGGCTCCGGCCGCGATTTTCGGCGATGGCCAAAACACAACCACCCTGCCCACGGCCCCATGGGACTGAGCGTATACAACCAAATCTGGCGTGGGTTTTGGCGTGATATACGCCACGGCCCCTGATGGGCCGTCGCGCAACATGGAGGGCCGTGGGTGGGGTGGTATCGTTTGTATTTCGAATAAGAGAAGACTACGGAATTACTTTATCGACTACACGTAGGAGCGACCTTACGCTATAGTGACATTTGATGCGCGGCTTCAGGGGCGCCCGTGGGGGCCCAACGCAATCGCGTAAGCCGGCGTTGCCGCGACGCATCAACGATCAGCGGGGCGCCACTCGAACCATTTTTTCGTGCCAGCGGACATACGCGGAAATCCGGCGATTGAATTCGAGCGCCCCGAATTAGACAAGCGCGTTCCACTATTCGCAAAGTAACTACTCGCAAGTGGCCTGGATCCGCCGCGGGGGATTTACGATCCGTTACGCAGAGGCAACCAACTATTGTTTGGGCGTTTGCGAGTAGGCACTTTGCGAGTAGGGGAACGCGCTCGGTGATGAATGGCATTTCGAAGGCACTGCGAAAACAAACGCTGCCAGGGGCCACCGCGATGCGGTCTGGCACTTCTGGGCTGCATCGCGCTGACGTCTGACCAGGCCCGGCGTCATGGCCAAAACCGGCTCAATCCGAGAGTCTGGAATATGTCTGAATGTCTTTGGGGAACTTATAACAGTAAAGATCCTCACTGGGTCGAAACCAATATATTCAAACATATTCAAAATTAACGAAAATACCAGAAGATATCTCAATGTATTCAAGCCAGACGTTTTGGGATTTGGGCTGGGATTCGGGACTGGTCCTGGGCCGGAAAACGCGCCGCATGGTCGACCTGCTCCACCTCGGGTAAACAATGCAAGCTGTAGGGTGCGACGCGTATGCGTTGCTGTCGATTGCAAGGGGTGGTGGGCCCAAACCTGGCGCGATCAGATGCGAGCGTAATCACGCGATGCGGGTGCCGACGCGAGGTCGAGCTCATTCCACAAGAAAAATCACCCGACCCCCTTTGGGCCGGCACCCAAGGTCACTCCAGCGAAGAGGCACCCATGGTTCAAGTCAACCGAATATACAGAAATACGTAGAAAGTCCACAGATATATTAACATTGTATGTCTTTTTTTCGTAGATTCGACAAACTGTCCATTTTTGGGGGCAAATCAATTCTGTGGTCGATATCCTACTCGGGTTTTTGCTTGCACCTTGTTTGCAACGTCGGATCACCAGGGGAGGCGGCGGAGGGAACGGCGGGTGGACTAAAAGTGTCCACAAGTGCCTCGCCAAGACCCTGAGTTGTCAATGCATGTCGGACCAAAACGTTTTCCCCCCCTCCCTCAAGTTCAAAGCTGACGGATTCGGGCGGCAGGCCAAAAGGCTAGGGACAAAACGTAGACATTTCAACTTTGGGTTTGGGGGGAGGGGTGCGGAGCAAGGGCATTTCGCAGTTGTGGTTGTTCAGAAGAGGAAGAATAAACATACGAAACAGAAGACACAGCATTAATATAAACTTTTTGGCGCTCCGCGCGGATTTCTTGGATCTGCGCTGGAGGGGCGGCGACGGAGGCGGCGCCGGGGGGGCCCAGCGCGGATGCAAGAAATGCGCGCGGAGCGCCAAAACATTATGTTCATGCCTTTCTTCTCCTTCGATTGTTCTCATGCTGCATCGCCTTACCATTAGGTCGGACGCGTCCTCCTACAGGCGGATGATGAACGAAAACTTACACATACGGATAAATATCCAACAGTTGTCAAAAGCAGTAGATAAATCGTCCCCGAGTAGGTTTTCCTATTTTTGAAGCCTCCTGCAGAGGGACAAGCCCGACGTAACCTTACTGCCATGGGTTGAGCAGGGACCGACCGTCCCGGCATTCCTATTGTCCTACCACGACATGCTCTTAGAACCCCCACAATATTCGAAGAACAAAAACAATGTCTATAGAACATAGACCCGATGAGTTAAAACAAGACCGTCCCCGCCAGACATGTTCTAAGAACATACCGTGGACACCACAAAAGGTTCTTAGAACACTGTTTGGTAGGAATATAGGCACGCCAGGACTAGGGGAACAAAAAGTGGCATAAACATAACAAACCGGAGGTCCGCGCGGATTTCTCGGCCCCCGGGCGGCGCCTCCGGCGCCGCCCCTGGCGCGCGGAGCGCGCCAGGGAGGGGGGCCCAGCGCCGATCCGAGAAACCCGCGCGGACCTCCGAGTTTTTATGTTCGTGTGACTTTTTGTTCCCCCGAGGACGCCTCGCCACTGCCTGAGTGGGTGTGGACACTCTTCGCCCGGGCACCGACGGGGCGCCTGCGCGGGAGGCCGCCCCCAAGCCCTGCCGGGCCTCCCCCGAGAGGCGGGCGTCTCGAGGCGCGCCCTGCGGGCGTGGCGGCGGGGGCCCGCCCGGGAGGCCCAGGCGTGGGGGGGGGGAGCATAGACACACCACACACGCACACACCCACACAAGCACACACACACACACGCACACACACACACACACACACACACACACACACACACACACACACACACACACACACACACACACACACACACACACACACACACACACACACACACACACACACACACACACACACACACACACACACACACACACACACACACACACACGCACACGCACACGCACACACACACGCACACACACACACACATACACTTGTTTCACGTCGCAACTCGGCAGACGCAATGCGTGCAGGCGAGACCAGGGCACGGAATGGCGAGTTCACCCGCACGCGGGAGGGATGGGGGAGGCAAGGGAGGCGGCCGCGGGACGGGGGACACACGAACACACACACACACACACACACACACACACACACACACACACACACACACACACACACACTGCGAGCGCCGCCGGTCCTCCACCTCCGACCTCGCCTCCCTCTGCAGCCTGCTCTGCTCCTTCTCCTTGTACGTCACCATGGGGGCACCGACCTTCGAGGCCGCGCCAGACGAGGGCCGAGGAATCGCACTGCTATCGTCGGTACATCGGCGGTGCTTCGGCGACGACAGGGTCGAGGAAATCTGGCCCTGGAGCGAGCCTCGTCGGCGATGCGGCTCGCTCCACGCTAACAGCGTTTGAGACGCGTGACGGGCGCCGCGGCTCCACACATACAGAGCGGGTGAATGTGAGGCACAATGTTTTGCTCGTTGGTCGCTTGTTTGTCATCCTGCGGAAGTAGAGGGACGGGCATCGCCGATACGCCAGCGATGCGGCGCGATCCTCCGACCCCATCCGCTCGGACCCCGCGCAAGGGACCGAACCCACCGGGCGCAGGCCCGCAAAAGTCGCGGATGCGCCACCCTCTCGGACCGGGCGAAAGGGGGAGGTAGCAAAGGGGGGGGGGTGAGAATCAGCTCACGTAGCTGATTTTCCCAGCGCCTCCCGGCGCCAGAGGCGGCTATGCATCGAGGAATAGGCCCCTCGGTGGGGCCGAGACCAGCTGCATGCAGCAGATGTCGTAACCCCCGCTTTCCCAATCCCCCCTTTTCGTCCGGCCCGACCCCCCCCACGAGAGGCCACAGCAAGGGGTCTCTCCACGGGCGGAGTCGCTGGTCGACCTGGCGGGGGGTGGGTTGCTGCCAGCCCCCGGGACCTGCAGGCTCAGGCCCGAGTGGCCCGCGGGCAGCTGCTTCGGGTACACGCACGCCTGCGGCCCGCGCGCGAAGCTGCTGCCGACCACGAGCTCCCCGGCCGCGTAGAAGCCGGGGTTGTACTCAGGGTGGCGGTAGGACTTGTCCCCCTGGGCCGGGGTGGGCGGCATTGGCGGCGCGCGCGAGGGGGTAGGGGGAGGAGGGAAGGCGTCTTGGAGGGAGGCTGGTTCTCAGAAGGCGCGGGCAGTACGTCTGTAGATGAGGCCGCACCATCTATGAAGCAGGGGTGCTTCTAAGAAGCCTCCCCCCCTCCACCTACCCCCTGTGCGCGTGGCCGACGAAAGAAGGGGGACCGCACAGGCGGGGCTATCTAGCGAATCAACTCACGTGGCCGGTCTCTTCCCTGCGCCACCTGGCGCTGGAGGGGCCACATATACAGATACACATATACTATCAAGCGTACGCATACATGTACAACGATGTGTGTATAAAAACTACGTGTGTATATATGTATATGTATATGTATATGTATATATATATATATATATATATATATATATATATATATATATCCGCCGGCCCCCTTGTGGGGCCACCAGGCTGTAGGCGCGGGTTCGCAGTTTCCAGTACCAGTTGTAGCTTGAAGTTTCCAATGTTACAGTTCTGCTTCTTGCTGGTTACTGTAACTAGTTGATTGACCGCGCGAGGGGGGGAGGCCCAAACAGGATTTTTTAGCACCCCCTGGGCGCGTTGTCTGAATTGCTGGGGGGGTTCGAAATCGACACCCCTCACGCAGATCCGCGGGGTCAGGGTCTAAAAACACATGGGATTTGCCACATTTCTGAAATCCGGTACCACCCCTCACGCACATCCGCGGGGTCAGGGTCCAAAAACACACGGGATTTGCAACATTTCTAAAATTCGGTGCCACCCTTCACGCACATCCGCGGGGTCAGGATCCAAAAACACAAGGGATTTGCCACATTTCTAAAGTCGGGGCTACCCGTCATGCAGATCCGCGGGGTCAGGGTCCAAAAACACACGGGATTTGCAACATTTCTACAATTCGGTACCACCCCTCACGCACATCCGCGGGGTCAGGGTCAACAAACACATGGGATTTGCCACATTTCTAACAGTCGGTGCCACCCTTCACGCACATCCGCGGGGTCAGGGTCTAAAAACACATGGGATTTGCCACATTTCTGAAATTCGGTGCCACCCCTCACGCACATCCGCGGGGTCAGGGTCCACAAACACACGGGATTTGCAACATTTCTGAAATTCGGTGCCCCCCTCACGCACATCCGCGGGGTCAGGATCCCCAAACAGAGGAGATTTGCCACATTTCTGAAATTCGACGCCACCCCTCACGCAGATCCGCGGGGTCAGGGTCCAAAAACACAGGGGATTTGCCACATTTCTGAAATTCGACGCCACCCCTTACGGACATTCATCGCAAGGCGTGGTAACCCAAACTGCGTGTACTCCCTCGGCCCTTTAATCCCAAGGTGTGGTAACCAAGCTCGTAAACCGTACACGTCTTACCAATCGCCCTGTGTGGTAACCCCTCTTGTGATCAGTTGGTTTCGCCGATTGCGAATCGGCCTCGCATGAAGTTCCGATACTGCTGCGCGACAGCGCCAAAACCTCATGACTTAGCTCTTCCATGGCCCATTCTCCGAGAGAGGGGGCCGGCGGCAGGAGGCGAAGCCTTTTACGGATATATATATATATATATATATATATATATACATATATATTTATATATATATTATATATATTATATATATATATATATATATATATATATATAATATATATATATTCCTATATATATATATATATTCGTATCTTTATTATTTCACATCAGGAGATCCCCGGGAATGGGCGCCCCCCCCCAAAAATAGAATCTGGCGGCCCCAGGGGCCCGTGGGGCGTTCTCTGGCCCGCCAGTTGGGCTTCCCAAGATGGTCCAAAGGGCCCGAAATCGCCGAACAATCTGCCCGAGACGCCTATGATGACTTGACGGCGGCCCAAAAGGCCCCCAACACCGCCCAAGAAGTTCCGAGAGGCCTCCGAAGAGGGCCCCACGAGACTCAAATCGTTGATGCGCTTCGAAACGCCTGGACCTGACCAGGTGCTCCGCGGACTGCAGGCATGGGGCAGCGTAAATATTCTCTCCTCGCAGCAAGAGAGGAGGGCGCGACAATGCAAGCCACGCGCGCGCAGGCCGATGAAACAGCGGCCGCGCGCGCAGACGGGCAGGGAAGGAAGCACGCCGGCAAGCAGCCGTCCAGACCGTTTCGCTGGCACGGGGTGCGTTGCGTGTAGATGTGCAGATCCGAGCACACAATCAAAACGCCGAGAGAAAGGCCACGTCGGGCTAAGGGGGGGGTCCCGGTTTCGGGCCGCTCCTTAGATCCAGGCTGGCGAGCCCCTGCCCCTCCCGCCCCCTGCGCATGCCACTTCCGTCGTCGCCACAACCACGTCATCATCATCGTGGTCACCGCCATGGTAAACGCCCTGTCCACAGGCGCTGCCCCTGACCTTCCCAACCCCTTGCGTCCCACCAACCAAGGAGGATGCCGACCCCTCCGTCTTCCCCAAGAGGGCCCCCGAATCCTGAAGTTGTCCCGAATGCCCCGCATTTACCACACCTGTCACGAACGGAATCATCATCACTCACATAGCACCCACCCTTTGCGAGCCTCCCTTCTCCACAACTCGCCCCCCCATCACCTTCCCAACCCTCGAACCCCACACATGCGTCAGGCTTTCCCGCCCCCTGTGCATCCCACTTCCGTCGTCGCCACAACCATGTCATCGCCGTCGTAGTCCTATGTACGCCTCCTACACTCCGTCATCATCTCAGTTGCCATTAACCGTGACCTTCCCAACCCAAATCTGCAGAGGTATGAGGCCACCATCGTTGCCAGCACCCTTTTCGTTGTACTCACCTCATCCGAAGCCTCCCTCTCCCTTCCCCTGCCGTCGGCGTTGCATCCCCGCCGAATCTTATCGCCGATGGCCGTCGCGCGCATCGCCCCTTGCCAACTCGGCGCGCGCGCACGGCGCGCGCGCACTCCATGGGCCGACGCCCATGCGCCCGTGACCTTCCCATCCCCGTCCCTGCCCGTCGCCGACGCTTCAGCCCGCATAGTCGCACTTCACTCGCACACTGCACGCCGGCGCATCGTGCCAAGACCTCCAAGCGAAGCGCAGCGAGCTTCAAGTCTTGTATATGTATATATATATATATATACATATAAGGATATATATATATATAGAGAGAGAGAGAGAGAGAGAGAGAGAGAGAGAGAGAGAAACAAACAAAAAAAAAAACAAACAAACATCTCAGATCGCGTGGGCCGAACGGTCATTTATTGTCCGTGGGTGCGTGGTTGAAAAAGGAATCCTTGGCGAAGATTATGCTGGTTGTTGTCGTCGTCGCCCCTGCAACCCGCCCGCGACCCACCCGCGACCCATCCCGCGACCCACCCAGCGACCCACCCCGCGACCCACCCCGCGACCCACCCCGCGACCCACCCGAGACCCACCCGCGACCCACCCCGTGACCTGCCCGCGGCCCATCCGCGACCCACCCCGCGACCCACCCCGCGACCCGCCCTCGACCCACCCCGCGATCCAGCCCGCGACCCAGCCCGCGACCCAGCCCGCGACCCAGCCCGCGACCCAACCCGCGACCCACCCGCGACCCACCCCGCGACCCACCCGCGAGGTATGCTGAGAGCGCCTGGCCGACGAGAAGAACACGTCTAGGACAACAGAGGGAGAGTCAAGCCACGGGAACGCCTGTGCGAATGCATTGACACACGAGGCCTTTGCAAGCGCAGAGAGCCGCCCAGGCCGGGGCCGTGATCCCAAGCCAACTGGGGAGGGGTGGCCTTTCTGGGGGGGGGGCTCAAGATTCACGAGCGGCGAGCATAATCATCCTTATCTACGCCCCCGCGCGGGGTGCAATCCAGCGCATACGCGATCCGGCGCGGGGTCACGGCCGAGAGGTCCTGCCCGCGAGGCTGCCATCTCGGGGGCCTCTGGGTCGTCGTGGACGGCGTGAGAATCAGATCTTCGCCAGCGTGGACCCCAAGCAATGGTTTCTTGCCATCTATGCGGCGCAAACTGGGCGGTGCCTTTTACGTGGTGCAATTGATTTCAATAAACGAGTTGACACATCCCACGCTCATGCAAACATCCCACCCACCCACCCGCAACTTGGCTTGCAAAACCCATGTGGTGACGATTGCGATGAGTGTTTGGAGTTAGCTGGCCCATTTCTGCGGCCGCGCCAACCCAAGCGCGCGCGCAGCGGCCAGCTAATTTGGCGCGACCGACGCGGCCGCGGTGGCGCTGACTGCTGGGCACATCCCAGCTGGCACTTCACTGCGAGTCGGCGACTTGGGCGGGCGCGGTATCATGGCAACGTCGACAACGGTAGACACGATGATGATCGTAGCGATGTTGGTGACGATGTTGGCGACGACGACGGCGCGGCCAGTGCGGGCGCAGATGTTGATCACGCCGTCGGCGACACCGACGACGATACACCGGCGACGTCTCCAACGACTTCGACGACGCCGACAAAGACGACGACGTCACCGACGACGACGACGACGCCGACGACGACGACGACGATGATGACACCGACGACAACGATGACGACGCCAACGACGACGGCAACGACGACACCGACGACGACGACGACGTCAACGACGCCGACGACGACGACGGCGACGACAACGACGACGACAACGGCGACGACGACGACGCCGACGTCGACGACGACGAAGACGACGACGCCGACGCCGACGACGAAGACGACGACGACGTCGCCAACGAAGACGACGACGAGGGAGGAGGGAGGACGACGACGGCGACAACGACGACACCGACGACAACGAGGGAGGAGGGAGGACGGCGACGACGCGAACGACGAAAAAAGAGGAAGGACGGCGACGCCGACGACGACAACGACGAGGGAGGAGGGAAGACGACGACGACGACGACGACGACGACGACGACAACGGCGACGAAATAGGAGGGACGACGACGAGACGCTGACGACGGACGACGACGACGAGGGAGGAGGAGGAGGAAGGACGACCACGGCGACAACGACGACGGGAACGACCACGACACCAAAGAGGACGACGACGACGAACACGAGGAAAGACAGAGGACGACGTAGGCGACGACGACGACGACGCGGGGGGAGGGAGGACGGCGACGACGACGACGACGACGACGACGACGCAAGAGCGCGCGCGCACGCTTTTGTTGAACATCCGTGTTGCGATACCTTGTGTTTTTGTAGGTTTTGGACACACGATTTTGACATCATTCCGAAACCGATGGATTTTGAAGGATTTCGGCATACGCGCGCGACGACGCGCGCGTCTGCACTTCGTCACATTTGTGCAGAGGATTCTCGCAACGGCACACGCGCAAGGGCGTTCGACAGATTTCGACATGCGCGCGCGCGAAGCCCGTTTGGTAGCATTTTGTGAAAATCTTGAAAAAAACAATGTTTGTCTTAAAATTTCGCAAGAACTCGCGCGTAAGCTTTTTTAGCAAATCAGTGTTGCGAAACCATGTGTGTTGTATGTGTTTTGGAAATTCGATTGCGAAATCCCTCCGACACCGAAGGTTTTGGAGGATTTCGGCATGCGCGCGACAACGCGCGTGTGCACTTCGTTCCATTTTGTGCAAGGGATCTGTGAAAAAGTGTCATGCTCGAACACAAGATGTCCCCGCGTATCGTTTTTTACTAAGGAACCTCAGGGGGACCAGTACCGGTTCCGCAGGGATATCGCACATTCATAATTCGGATGGACATGTGGTCATAATCATATATGATTTACATACCCGAAAGGGGGGCGGCGAACGCCGGGTGGGGTAGAAATGAGAATCTAGATGGTGCAGTTCATGAGGTGCAAAGCTGGGACGGCGGCAGACCAGAACAGGGCCGCCAGGACCGCACTTTTTGAGCGCGCGGGCGGCAATCGGGAGCGGCCAAGAGGGGAGTGTTCAAGAGGGGGGGGGGGGGGGGGCAAATCATGACCGGCGGCATGTGCACGGCCCAGCGGGGGGGGGGGGGGCCAAGGACGTAATGCAAGAAGCAGAGGCGCCACGAAATCTGGGGAAACATCATGGCCCCCGTCATGACATCCCCCCCCCCTAGTGAAGAACCCCCCTCCTTGCCGCCCCCGGGCCAAGCGGTCCAGGACAGTCGGACGCCGGCCAGCACTCGGGGCCGCACGCGGACCCAGTCCTCCAGAGAAGGATCAAAAGACCCCTGAGTGCGAGCGCCGTCTGGGGAGAGAGCGAGCAGGCTGAAGAGGCACGCTCCCGAAGGGGATGGAACTGTGCTTCCCTCTCGGGGCCCTCTCGGGGCCCCCTTGGGGCCTCGTGGGCTCGAGTCCTCTTCCAACCCCCGTGTTCCCCCTCGGGGAAGGCTTTATCACTGTTCCCTCTCAATCTACACCCCCGCCCCGAGGCGACCGGCAGCCAACCAGGAGCACTGAGGACACCAGGCCCCTTTCCCCCCCCCATTCCTGCCAACAAAACAATGCAAAGCGCACTCTGCCTCCACATTTGGAGCATGCGCGGCCAACCCGATGCGCACCCCCCCCCCCAATCATCCATGTCAAAAACAATACAAAGTACACTCTGGGGCAAGTCTTGAGTCATGTTCGTGAGGCCCGCGAGCACTCTGTATTGCTTTGACAGGGACGGCGGGGGTGCCAGCACATTGCCTGCTGCGCACAGGGCTACCATCACTGACAAAAAAGAATACGATATGCACCTCGGGGCTACATTCGGATCATGCGCGGCCGCCCCGCGATCACCGTCAAGTGGTTTTTGACAGTGACGACGGGGTGGTGGCGTATGGCCTGCTGTGCGCAGGCCCAGCAGACACAATGATGGGCATTGGTTTTTGACAAGGATGGTGGGGGCTACCATGTTTCCTGATGTGTGCTGTCACGTGCGCAGGCGCACTTGACATACTCTACACGTGCCCCAAACGTGGCGAACCTGGCGTGGATGGAGTATGCGGCACACCTGGCGCACGCGTACGTGGCGCATCTGGCGCACCAGGCGTGCCCTTCACGCTTGGGCCCCAGGGATGCCTGGCGCGCGTGGCGCGCCTGGCACGCGTGGCGCACCTCGCCCCAGCGTCGAGCACATGGGATCTGTTTTGGTTCCCAGAAACTGTTCATCCAAAGACGACCACTGAACATGCTCAGGCTCGGGTGTTACACATGTGTTGGGAGGGCGGGTGGGAGTGAGCTAGACGGCTTGCTATCTAAGAGAGTGTCTTGACCCTGTCCCCTACCCCCTACCCCTGGTTCTGAAGGGGGGATCGCGACCCGTTGGAGCATCCAAGACGGCATCGGCGAGAAGGAGCACATCATTGATCTAACATGGGCTTTGGCCCCAATTCTGGCCTCCTGGGGGGGGGTCTGTAATTCACTACCCTCCTTTCTTGTTCGACCTCCTCTGGGATGGCCCCAAGATGGCCACCAAGGCTCCCAAGAGTGCCCCAAGCTTGGGGCGTCTTTGAAGCCTTTTGGGCAGTCTCAACGCCAGCTTGGTGCTCTTAGAGTGTTTTCGGGCGGTCCTGGACCGAGGGAGCCTCCTGGGGAGCGGCCTGCAGGGGATGGGGACACCCACATACAAGGGAGGTTGCGGCCCGGTACCCCAGGCCCGGGATCTCCCATGCATGTATATGTATTTGTACATCTGTATATACGTATATAATATATAGTAATAATGATACGGACAATGATATTAATAAGAGTACGAATGATACTACTAATACAAATACCAATGGTAATAATAATAATGATAATACTACTAATAAAACTAACACTTAGCAATAATAAGAATGACTATAATAACACTTGTAATAAATATTGTCCCTAAGACCCATATACTTGGCAACAACAAAAAAAATCGAGAACCCGGGAACTGCAATGCCAAGACCCCCGGACGGTCTGGGGGTCCCGGGCCAGGTCCGGGCCAGCCCTGGAACTCGGAAGAACCCAGGGGAACCTGGCCGCACACCAGAAACGGCCCAGCACGTTCGCCGAAACCCGGAGCCGGCAAGCTGAGACCAGGAAACCAGGAAACCAAGAAACCAGGAAACCAGGAACCCAGCCGCCCACCGAATTCAGCCAAGCACTCTCGCCAAGTCCTTCCGGGAAACACGACGCCAAGGAGTCGGGGTAATTAGAAGAATAGGAGGCCCCGGGAACGACCACACGAGCCTTCGGAGGCACGAGGAGCACTCTTGCTTCCCAGCCTCTGGAGAGAAACCTGGCTGGCCGTCCCTGCCCCCCCCCCCCTCTGGGGCCCTCTGGGGAGAGGCCCGCCGACCCCAGCCTGGGACGCGCACGGGATGCCGTTCCTCTGGCTCCAGAGGTCCAGCGGCCTCGCCTTCCGCGCCATCTCCGCGCTCACGTCCACCTGAACGACGATCGACGATCAAAAACGGGCCTAGTGCAAAATGGCACGGCGAAGGTACGCCGCAGCTCACGCGGGCCGCCCGCGCGGCACGCCACATTTCAATCGAGGGTGCTCGCGCGAGACCTTACGCGGGCACCCTACGCGCCAATGTCGGCGCACACGACCCCGTGTTGTTGCATCGCTCGCCTCGCGGGCTGGCTGGTCCTGGGCCCGCAGCCCGCCATCGCGGTGGACGATGCCGACGCCCTGCGGGCGGTCGGAAAACTCCTCTTTGGACTCCAGCTGCCGCAGGTGGCGCCTCTCCCTGATGGCGTGTATGGTGCGGGGCGGCTCCGGCACCTTAGGGCAGCGCGTGCACCCGGGGGGGCGGGGTGGGCGGCCGCCTGCCCTCTGATCTGGGCGTCTCAGCCTGTTCACTGCAGGAATGTTTCGGGCCCTGGGGCCATGGCGGATTGATCCAGTTCGGAACACGCAGGGAGAAAAAGTGGGGTTCGGGGTTTCGGTCGTGATCTCTCGCGAAGTGTCATTTTTCCGCAACGTCGGATCTAAAGGGGAGAAGGAAGCAAGGATGCTCCCCGATGGTCTTCAAAACGTGCGCTGGCGCCAACATGCGCTCGTCCACCGAAGACCTCCAGCACGACGCAGGCAATGTACTGAAGGCCAACACAGGTTGCGTGACATCACTACAGATGAACAAGGTAAACGCACAGACACACATGCGCACACACAAATGTTCCTCCAGCGGCGAAGTGACGACACCGTCGCGATGCGCTGAGCCGGGACACACCTAGGCGGATTACCATACTTCGTAGCAGGAGGGTGGACAGGACGATGGCAGCCACCTGCAGAAAAAACGCGGGAGCGGATGCCCGCGGAAGAGGCCGAAGCTCATGCAACGCAGAGGAGCAAACATCCCACACGCACGCACATTCACACACAAACACACACACACGCACAAACGAATTCACACGCACCTTTGGCCAACGTGCGTCCGGAGGATCGTCGAGCGCCCAAGGGCAGGAGGCTTTCCGCAACGCCTCTGGAGAAGGCAGGAGGGCTCCCTTTTGGAGGGCCGGGCCGCGCCCTTGCCTACGAACGAAAACACATTACTCCGACGGCGGGACCCCGCGTGCGATTTTCGTAGCGTGCCCTTCGCCCTTTCCTCTTCGCCATGGCGGACACCCTCCTCTCGCCATCTGCTGTGGCCTCTCCTCCTCTTCCTCATGTGATATATATCCTCCTCCTCCTCCTCCTCCTCCTCCTCCTCCTCCTCCTCCTTCTCCACCTCCTCATCATCACCCTCCCCTTACCCTTTCCCCTCTCCTTCTCCTCCTGCATCTTCTCCACGTTCACCTATCATCCCCCGTGGACGGGGCAAGCACGTCGGTTTTCCTCGAGGCCGTCGCCGCCTCAGCCAGCACGCGCGCGTTCGCCGACGGCTAGATCGCGAAGCCTTTGGGGCAACCCCGCGGGCCTTACTTTTTTCAGATTCCTCCTCTAGGCGGGAGAGGGAGCCTCTGCAGGCTCCCTCAAGTTCCCTCCCCCGCGGCTAGAGCGGGAGCCGTTTCAGGTTCCCTCTCCAATCTACCACGCCAACAACCAACAAAAACGACATCGGACGTTTCGGAAGTGAAGATGGAGGACGGAAGCTTGGAGGATCCAACCAATCTCGCAGGATGCTCGCACCAACCTGCACCGAATGTTACTCGCATGAGGCCCCCGCTCGAGAGCTCCCAGCTGGAACCTCTTCCAACATACTCAAGCTTAATGAAGCCAAGAGTGACGAGAATTACAGGATCCCGATGGCCCGCTCGGATTAATCACATAAGCTGCGGGGCCCATGGGGAGGGCACTCCCGCTTGAGACGTCCTCGCAATCCACTCACAGACGGGGCTCCAGCCTGAGACTTCCCCTATACTCAAACTCGATGAGGCCAAACATGACGACAGTTATAAGATCCCGATGACCCGCAGGGATTAATAACATGATCTGCGGGCACATAGAGCGGGGCTGCCGCCAAAGACTTCGTCGCAATCCACTCACAGACGAGGCTCCCGCCGGAGACTTCTCCCACATTCAGGCCGCAGGAGCCCAAAATTTACGACAATTGCAAGATCCAGATGACCCGCTCGGATTAATCAATCACATGATCGGCAGGCCCCACAGGGAGAGGGCTCCCGCCTGAGACTTCCTCGCGATTCACTCACAGACGAGGCTCCCGCCGGAGACTTCCCCCATCTTATTCAAACCGCAGGAGACCAAAAGTGAAATCAGTTACAGGATCCCGATGACCGGCTCGGATTAATAACGTGAGCTGCGGACCCCATATAGGAAGGGGGCTGCCGCCTGAGACTTCCTCGCAATTCACTTACAGACGAGACGCCCGCCTGAGACTTCCCCCATATTCAGGCCGCAGGAACCCAACATGCATGACAATTACAATATCCCGATGGCCCGCTCGGAATAATTTGCCGGCCCAACTGGCCAAGGGCGTGCTAAGATCTCCGGCAACTGGTTAACAATATTTCTAGTTCGCGCGCGCGGGGCCGCCCCTGGGGGTCCCCAAACGAGAAATACCCCCGCAAGTCCAGGCAAGATCCCGGCAAGAACCCGGGCAGGTCCCGGCAGGCTCCCAAGAGCATGGACCGAGACGATCTAAGAGCGATCCAAGACGCCAAAGGCTGCCTCCAGACAGTCCAAAGCGCCTTCAAGACGCCCCAAGAGGCTTCCAAGAGATCTCCCACGAGGGCCACAAAGGCAGAAATCTAAGATCTTCCTTCGGCTTACCGGCGCTCCGAGACGGCCCAAGAGGCTTCCAAGACCGCCCCGCGACGGTCCACGAAGCGTCCGAGAGGGCCCCAAGACGGCCCAAGATGGCCCCAAGACAACCCAAAAGGCGCCCAAGACGGCCCAAGAGAGAAACGGCCCCAAGAGGGCCCCCAGGAGGCCCCAAGAGGCCCCAGTGGGCCTCCAAGGGGCACTCCAAGAAGCCCCAAGAGGCCCCCAAGAGGCCCCAAGAAGCCCCAACCCGGCCCCCAAGAGGCCTCAAAACTGCCTCCCAAAGCCTCTGAGAGGCCAACCACGAGAGCCCAACCAACATCCGTGAGGCCTCTGACCCGCCACCCACCGCCTCCGAAAAATGGCAGCCGCCCAACCGCACCGCATTGACAACAACACCCCTACAAGGGACAGTGGCAAGGCAATATGGGCCGGCGGAATGAGCGAAGCGATTAAATAACATCAACTGCGGCCCCATATGGAGGGGGCTCCCGCCTGAGACTTCCTCGCAAGTCGCTCACAGACGAGGCTCGCGCTTGAGACTTCCTCCATATCCAGGCCTCAGGAACCCAAACATGAAAACAGGTACAGGATCCCGATGACCCGCTCGGGCTAATAACATAGTCTGCGGGCCACTTGGGAAAGGGGCTCCCGCCTGAGCCTTCCTCGCAATTCGCTGTTCTCGGATTAGTCATATGATCTGCGGGCCCCAACCAGAAACCCACTTAGGATGAGCGTCTGCGTGCGAGTGTGTGAGACAGTGAGTGAGTGTGAATGAATGTGATGATGGTGATCATGTCTGAAGGGGTGAGTGGGTGAATGATGCTGATGATCGTACATACAGAAGGACAAGTGCATGCGTGAGTGTGAATGAATGTGATGATGGTGATGATGTTGAGTGAAGGAGTGTGGGTAAGTCATGCTGATGGTGATGACTGTGGAAGGAGTGTGTGAGTTAATGCGGTGATGGTGATGATGCCTGAGGGAGTGCGTGGACGAGTGATGCTGATGATGATGACTGTAGACGGACAAGTGAATGCGTGAGTGTGAGCGACTGTGATGATGGTGGTGATGATGAGTGAAGAAATCAGTGGGGATGTGATGTTGATGATGATGACTATAGAAGTGCAAGAGTCGGAAGAGGGTGAGCGCGAACGAAGCGCGACTGGAGCCATAGCCCCCATGTTCCTGCTACGTGTTTCGAGCCGGATCGATCTGCGATGGCCCCGGGGCCCGAAACAAGGCAACCAGGCCAGTTTGTGAAAAAAGGCATCGCCCGGATCTCGGGGTCCTCGGGCCCCCCTCCCCATGAGCCTGTTTTTTTTAGACTCTGGCAAGTTTACTTGCATGGACGAGGGGGGGGGGGGCTGAGCCTAAAGCAAGCCGCAAACGACTTGCACGTTCGGGGGGGCGCGGCACGCTAGTATTCGCTTGAAGAGGGGCGAGGGGGGGGGGGGGGGGGGGCGAACGCCATGCAAGTAAACTTACCTGAATCCAAAAAAACAGGCTCCATCGCCCCACACCCCTCCCCCACGCCGCCAAACCTGCCGGATGCCCTCGGGCTTCTCGTAGTGGTCCGCGCCCGGCATCGCCACCGGCCGCCGCGTGGACTTCCAGCTGTGGACCAAGCTGTTCTCCATGTGCTCCACGGCCCGCCTCCCCTGCACGGGCACCAGGCCCGCGGAGTCCGTGAAGTACCTGCGGAAGCCATTCTGGCACAGGGACTCCGGCGCGCCCAGCTTGGCGCACGAGTCCGCCATCTGCCTCCGGACCGGGTTGCCGGTGATGGGGCCGGCAGAGCTCAGGCTTGCGCGCAGGCAGCCCCCCGGAGGAACTCGCGGCTCCGCTCAACAGGCCCGCGGGGCAGTCTGGGGCACAGGGCCCCCCGAGCGGCGGTGCTGTGATCGCCCTGGGCTTTCTACACGCCGTTGGGCGTCCATTGACGCCAGCTGGGGCCACCTCTGGGTCCCAGGTGCCTGCTCCACGACGCGGACCCCTGGAGCGACTCGACCCTGTCCCCACGGCCGGCCTTTCGTCGCGGGTCGTTCCTTGAGTGGTCCTGGCGCCCGGACCTTGGCAAACAACTGGCCGTCCTGTTGTTTGTACGCGACGCATGGAGGTGTGGGTCCTCCTCCTTCGCCCCCCTCAAAATCGGCGCATGATCTTCGCATGGAGCGCCCTCTGACGTGGCACCCAGGAGGCCCACAAAAAAAGTGAGAATCTAGTCAAAGCTGGAGGTGATTATGGGGCTGCCTTGGGGTACCAAGTGGGACCTTGCTGTTAAAACCGGAACATACCGAAGACGGATTTACCCTTTCCCCGACCTTGTACCGCGCCGAGCGCAACGGCCGCGTGCTCTATATATATATATATATATATATATAGACGCGTCCGATCCCGAATGCGTTTGTATACTCAACGACACTCGATGTGTTCATGTGCGCTTGTGGCTAGAAAGTGACAGCGATATTCGGCGTCTGCCAAAGATGCTGGTCATCTAAGAACATGTCGACTCTGCCGTCCAAGCGCTGTCTGCGCGCAAGCCCGGGCCATGCCGGATGGGGTCCGTGAACTTCGCGCTGATGGCTCCGGGCCACTCCTGGGCGCGCCCGACGCGGGGGCACCGCCGACGGGAACGAGGTGGATGGACAGACCCCCCTTTAGTAAAACGTGGTTTAGTGATAACGACCTGAGGCCCAAACCTGGCGGCCGCAAGCCTGGAAAATAACGGCCACGGCGCCCTCTCGAGAACCGAAAATCGACGTGTCACTGTTGGGGGTTCTGTCCACCCCCAACCAACAGCAGAGGCTGCCCGAAATGGGGCAGGGCCGCTGCTGGGCGGAGGACGCCCGCCGCGGGCAACGGGGCACGGCTGCCTCGAGGCCGACAGCGAGCCTGCGCGAAGCGACCCGCACGACAAAGACACGGACGCTGCTCGTTTCAATGCACGGGCCCAGGCGCCCGCGCATTGAAGCAAGTCCGACTGTATGTGAGGCCCGCTGCCGCGGGCCTCACATAGCGTCGGACTTGATTGGACAGGACACGCGAGGGGACACAGGACTCTTCCGAGTGCCGCATCGCCACAGGAATGCAGGAGGCATGGGTCGCGAGACACAGGACACGAGGGTACCCTTGGTTTAGCAGGGTCGACCTACTAATCATTGCCGACTGTAGAACGCAATTAAATGCACGGTCGCGGAGGAGGTGGAGGAAGACGAGGAGGGGGCAGGAGAGGACCCCGGGAGACGGATGAGGCCCATGGCGCGGCCAAGGGGTGCGAGCCAACCGACCCCACTGCTTGGCGCACGACCACTGGCAGGAGGCAGGAGCGGGGGAGGAGCGAGGAAAGAGGGAAGAGGGGAAGAGGGCTCCTCCTCCTCCTCCTCCTCCTCCTCCTCCTCCGTGAAAGAAGCGCGCCATGCCCCAGCGGCCCCAAGGTGGCTGTAGGGCACGAGAGGGAGAAGGCGGGCGATCGAGAGACGCGTCTGACAGTTGCCCCCCCACAGGCCCTCCAGGAAGGAGCAGGAGCGAGGCCCCGCCTGCCTGGGGCCCAACCGATCGAACGTGAGCACAGGGAGGAGGAGGAGGAGGAGGAGGGGGAGGAGGAGGAGGAGGAGGAGGAGAAGGAGGAGGAGGAGAAGGAGGAGGAAGAGGAGAAGAAGGAGGAGGAGGAGGAGAAGGAGGAGGAGGAGGATGACGAACGCCACAGGGTGACCTAAGGTCGGTCTAACGCAAAAAAGGAGGAGGAGGAGGAGGAGGAGGAGGAGGAGGAGGAGGGGGAGGAGGAGGAGGGGGAGGAGCAGGAGGAGGAGGAGGAGGAGGAAGACGAACGCCACAGGGTAACCTAAGGTCGGTCTAACGTAAAAAAGGAGGAGGAGAAGCAGGAGGAGAAGGAGGGAAGGAGGAGGGCACGGATTTCGGCGGAGCGGAGCAGAGAGCGCTCCCGGCAATTTACATGGGCCCAGGCCCTCGCCTGGGCTGACTTTGTGCCCAGAGTCCTTGCATGATCGGCCCCACGGGACCGCGAACGGAACCCGGTGGGCCGCGAGTTACTGGAAAACCTCTGGACTCTGACGTGTGTCGTGCAGAGTCCGCGGGAGTCTGGCATCGCCTCGTCTCCAAACCTCCGGCGCTCCGATTCCTACGAAGCGTGGCCCCCCCGAACTCTGAGCCCCTCCCCCGAGTCGGCATGACGACATGCGAAGCGCCAGGTTGCGCCACAGGGTGACCTAAGGTCGGTCTAACGCAAAAAAGGAGGAGGAGGAGGAGGAGGAGGAGGGGGAGGAGGAGGGAGGGGGAGGAGGAGGAGGAGGAGGAGGAGGAGGAGGGGGGGGCAACTCTGAGCCCCTCCCCCGAGACGGCACGACGACGTGCGAGGCGCCAGGCTGCGCTGGGCTCGCCTCTGGGGAAGCTCTGGGCTGCGCACAGACGGCCTCCCCATGTAATTAGCCCCGGCTAGCCTCAGGTCGGGCGTGTCCCCCCCCCCACACACGCGGACCTGGGGCGAAAGGTGCAGACAATAAGCAAATCATGCTCAAACAGATTCGCAAAATCGTCCCAGGATTTTTTTTAACTATTTCCGAAGATTCCTTCTGGTGCCTGTTTTTTTATAGACTCTGGCAAATTTACTTGCATGGACGGGGAAAGGGGGGGCTGAGCCTGAAGCAAGCCGCAAACGACTTGCACGTTCGGGGGGGCGCGGAAGTCACGCAAGTCGAAAGGCACGTGCACGCTAGCATTCGCTTGAAGAGGGGCGAGGGGGGGAGGGGGGGGCGAACGCCATGCAAGTAAACTTGCCTGAATCCAAAAAAAACAGGCTCCTGTAGAGGGACGTGCCCGACTTAAGCCTGTCCGTGCGCTGCCACTCGGAGCGCCCCGCTCGGAGGCGACGAGGATCCCCGAGGGCGCCTGGGACAGCGGCGGGCCCTTGCACGCTCCCCTCCGGGAGCCTCGCCGACGTCATGGACCACCGGCGCCCCGGGATGAAGGTATTGCCTTACTGAAGGGGCCCTGGGACGCACCAATAAATACACACAAACAAAAGGATTCCCCATATCTTCATGTATTTTCTGGGTTTCTGTCTTCCCCCCACTTCCCATATTGTCCCATAGTTTCTGGGGAATCGACGATTGATTGTGTCTGTGTGTTTTTTGTCCCTCCTGATTCGTGCTGCTCCCATGGCACTTTGAGGACCACATCCTGGCGAGAGCTCCGAGCACCCCGAACAGGATCGAGACGGGGCCGAACGAGAGCATGGCCTCCCGAGGCCCGACACGTGAAAACCCTCCAATTTCGGTACCCTCTTGGTGCTCGCGGCGTGCGGTCTTCCAGTCGTCTTCTTCGGAGCTGCGTCCGCCGGCCGGCAGACGACCCCGGGGCAGGCCGAGACAGTCAAGGACGAATGAATTGTACAAGCATGCGAAGAGAGTCTGCGAGAGCAATGCGTATGATTTTCGACAGCTCGCGGCAATCCCAGCAGAAGCCTGGAAAGCCGCTGTGCGACACTACTGCCCATAGTGTTGCATTACTGCCCATGTGCTTCGACACCCGGCTTGCATTCATTCTTGGTGCTCGCAGCTCTTGGGGAAACCAAGAGGTACCCACCGCTACTCCCCGGACCTCTCCTGGGGAGCGTCCTGACCAGGATCTCGAGGCGACTCCAGCGGTGGCGGCGACGGAGGCCCAGGGCCCCCAAGAAAGGGGGAACGAGGGGAGGGTCGAGGTGTGGGCACCTTTTCCTCCTCTGAGTCCTTCCTGCTCCTCCTGCTCCTCCTGCTCCTCCTGCTCCTCCTCCTCCTCCTCCTCCTCCTCCTCCTCCTCCTCCTCCTCCACCCTCCTCTCTTCATCCTCTCTTGCTGGTGAACAAGGCTACAGCAGGTCGGAACCTCATGAGCATTGCTCCACCCCAGGGTGATCGAGGCCACAGCAGGCTTCGGGGGCGGCCAAGAGGGGGGCGTCCAAGAGGGGGGGTGCAAATCATGGCCGGCGGCACGTGCGCGGCCCCAGGGGGGGGCCGGGGGCGTCTTGAGATAATAATGCGCCATGAAATCTGGGGAGATTTCACGGCCCCCGCCATGATACCCACCCACCCCTAGTCGTCATCACCCCCCTCTTAGCCGCCCCCGAAAGTCGGAACTTCATGAGCAGTTCTCAAACCCCCGGGGACTCCCGCGGCGGCGGCGCGTGCTGCGCCATGCCCGGCAACGCCATGGCGGCAGGGCCGGCGGGGCAAGGGCCGCCGAGGGCCAGCCGCGGGCGCGCGCCGTCTCGGGCCCCCCAACAAAAGTAGGAGAAACCCAGAAACAAAAAAAACAAGGGGCGGGGGATAAGGATCAAGGAGGGGGGGGGGGAGGAAAGAAAGAAAACAAGGGGGGGAGAGGTGAGGAGGAGGAGGAGGGCAAAGAGGGGTGGCGATGGGGGGCCGAAGAGGAGACGAGGAAGATGAGGAGGAGGAAAGGATGAGGGATGCGGAAGGGGGGGGCGCTGGGGGACGGGGAGGAAGATGGGGAGGGGCAAGCGGAGATGAGGATGACGAGGAGAATAGCGGGTGCGAGGAGAGATCATTGCAGCATTTTAATTAGCATTGACTATGCCTGCCTGTCACCCAGCAGGAAAAATATCAAGCACCACTCCATCGCGTGTGGGATGCTTGCACTTGAGATACCTGCACTTCCATATATCAAGGCTGTTGCGTGCTAAAAGGTTTTGAGAGGTTCGATGCATGCGACGACCTTGAATCGCAGACAGGCAAAAAGAGGCGAGGCGTCAGAACACTGAAACTCAAAGAGACGATGGCCTCTGGAGAACACCCCTTGAGAAACATTGACGGAACCAGACCCGTGCATCCCGCCCTGGTGGGCCTCCCTCGTAGAGGCGCCCGCACGGGACAAGCATTACAGTCGACCCGTATCATCAGGATGCACGATAAGGCTGCAAAGGCCTTGGGAGGCCGCTCCGAAACTTCTCGAGCGGGACGCGGCCATAGCGACGGCGGCTCAGGATGGACCGAGGAAGCCGGGAGGCAAGGGCAGCCTTGGGCAGGCTGCCGGGAGCGGCCAAGAGGGGGGTGTCCAAGAGGGGGGGGTGCAAATCATGACCAGCGGCATTGTTCGCGGCCCAGCGGGGGGGCCAGGGACGTAATGAAACAAGAAGAGGCGCCATGAACTCTGGTGAAATATCATGGCCCACGCCATGATATCCCCCCCCTAATCATCACCCCCCTCTTTCCGCCCCTGATCTCATCGCGCGGGTCGACTCTCAAGGGACGGCGACGCTTCCAGCGTATGCCGCGTCGCCAACAGCCGTGGCACCCTCCCCGGACGCGCCCAGCAGCCACGCAGCGCGGCGGGGCACCGGGCGCGGGCTCCCGACGGGCCCCCCCCCCCCGAGGAGGAGGAGGAGGAGGAGGAGGAGGAGGAGGAGGAGCAGGAGGAGGAGGAGGAGGAGGAGGAGGAGCAGGAGGAAGGTCCGTAGCCATTTTGGCTCAAGCCATTTTGGCTCAAGGGCCATCGGGGGCCCGAACCGCCGCCGCCCTCCTGCGGCCCTCCGGGGCCACAGGGCTGGCGGCTTCGCGGGCTGGCCCCAGGCGCGCGCGTGCGTTCGCAGGTCCTGCCGACCGCGCCGCGATGGAGCCTCGTCATGTGGCACGGCCCTGGCAGGACGCTCATGGTGCCTCGCTCGGCACGCAGAGCGTGGAGCCTGTGAAGCAGCAGCAGCAACAGCAGAAGAACCCCTGGGCCCAACAGGTCCGCCTCGCGCGGAAAGCGCGCCAGGTGGCGACGCAGCGGGCAGCGAGCCATCAATTGCAGTCTCAACGTCAACTCATCTCCGATCTGCAGTGCCAATTGCGAGCGTGGCACCAGTGGTGGCAACAAGCGCATCATGAGCCTTTTTGGGGACAGCGCTGGATGCCAGAAGACATCAGCTACAGCGCCGAAGCGGACGACCCCTGCGGGAAAGGGCGGGCGTCGCCCCAGGCAGCTGGCGGAAGCAACGGCAGTGGCAGCAGCGGTCAAGAATCAAGAAACAATGGCAGGGGACGGCAGTGGCAGCAGCAGTCCAGAGTCAAGACTCAAGGAAGCAACGGCAGTGGCAGCAGCGGTGAAGAGTCAACACTCCAAGTGGACTCAGCCATGCGCGAGAGAAAGGAAGGCGGAGATAGAGCCCGACGCGATCATCTACGGTTCAGGGATCAGGGCAAGCTTGATGCGACCTCGGGAATTGGCGCTAGGAATGGAGTACAGTCGTCATTAGCTGCAGGCGCGGCCGCCCGTGCGCGTGATGTGGCGCCAGCAACAGCGCCAGCGAAGCTGGAGGGCGATGACACAGGCCATCTGGATGACAGAGCCCAGACGCCATCGCAAACACATCACTGTGAGAAGCAGGCGGTGAGGATGGAGCCCCTCACCAATAACCTAGCCGAGGACCCAGCCAACACGTGCGAGACGAAGGAAGGCGAAGATAGAGCCCGATGTGATCATCTACGATTCAGGGGTCAGGGCAAATGTGAAACGAGGGGCACGGCAGCGGCAGTGGCAGCGGGCAAGAGCGGCAACATCACTACGCCATCAGTTACAGGCGCTGTGCGAGAAGAGACGGCAGTGGAAGAGGACTTGCTTCGGGCCGTGCGAGAGCACACCATCAGCTGCAGCACGACGAAGTTGCAGCTGACGAATCAGCGCATTGGCGGCACCCAGGCGCGTGATAAGATTGCCGTGGCAGCTGAGGTCATCGGAGCTGCGGCGAGATCGGGTGCGCAGTGGCGATCCGCGGCCCGCGCGGCACTAGAGGCGGCAGGCATCTGCGCGCCCAACGCGGCTGCTTTCGTCTCCATGGCCGCCGACGGCATCCCCATTCCAGCACGCATCGAGGCGATTTTCGCTGGTGTCGTAACCAGCGCCCACTGGTCCGCGGCCGACCAGGGCGACGCGTCCGAGCACGACGACGCCCGCGGCCAGCGCGCGACCAAGGATGACGCCGCCACCAGCCCCAGGACCACTCCTTCCAGGAGGACTCCGACGGCTACCACCACGAGTACAGCGGCGGCGCGAGGCAGCCTGCGAGAAGCAGCAGGCGGCGACCCGAGGCAGCCAGCGAGACGCAGGGTTTCGTTCGACCTGCGCAGCCACCTCGAGCGGCCCCAGGACCACTCTCACGGGGAGGACTCCGACGGCCGACTCGACGACAGCGACCCAGCGAGCCAGAACGACACAGAGAGCAACGCCACGGACAGCGAGTACGACGGCGAAACCACGTACACCGAGAACCACGACATGGCGGCAGCCGCGCGGGAGGCAAAATCTGGCGGGGCAAATTTCGGCGCCCCTGCAGGGCGAGGGGGTAGGCCCTACGACGACCCGCCCAGACCAGGAGGACGGCCCACTTGGGGGCCAAGCCTCCGCCCCGCTCCGACGGGAACCAGCAGCACGCCTACGGGAACCAGCAGCACACCTGCGGGAAACAGCAGCACACCAACGGGCACCAGCAGAGCATCGGGCACCAGCAGGCCTTCTTCAACCGCACTGGCGCCCACGGCGCCTCCCAGCACAACCACTTCCTCATCCTGGAGGGCGCCCACCTGAACGGCGAGTTCATCATCGCCGTCGCCCCCTCGGGTGGTGAGCGTGCCGCCTTCCTTAGGTGGAGGAGGCTGGCGGCCACCGAGGGGGGCAAGATCATCGTGTTCGGCTCCCACAGGGAGTACCTCTTCTGAGAGGGGGGGAGGAGGTGGCCCCCCCCTCGGGACGGCTGCGTCCGACAGGACATCGAGCCGATAGCGATAGCGATAGCGATAGCAGGAGGAAGAGGAGCAGGAGGAGGAGGAGCAGGAGACGCAGGAGGAGGAGGAGGGAGGGCGAGCCACGGTGGGGCACAATGGGGCAGAGGGCGGGCCGCCGGGAGCACGGCTGCCTCGGCAGTCGCGCGGCACGCCCGGAGACCCCCTCCAGCTCCGGGGGGGAGCCCTGCGGGTGGGCTGCGATCCCCGCGCCTCGGCTGCTGCGTCAGCTGCTTCGGCAGTCGCTCGGCACGCCCGGAGACCCCCTGCAGCTCCCGGGGGGGGAGCCCTGCGGGTGGGCTGCGGTCCCCCCCCCCCTCGGCTGCTGCGTCGGCGGCGTCGCTGCCGGCTTCCCCGCCCCCGGAGTAGGAGGTGGGGCTGGAGTCGCCCGCCACGTGGGCCACGACTTCGCGCAGCCCCTCGAGGAGCGGCGACTGTGCGAGCAGCGTCGCAGCCTCCACTGTAAGAGACCTCTCCGCCCCGGGCCAGTGGAAAAGACCCACAGTACCCATCGGTCAGAAGAAGTATGTAGAAATATGAAGTAGCAAGGCGTTGAAAAAGATTGGGTCCTTCCGCCGCCTCAGGAGGACGGATAGTGAAGCCACTCGATCATTGAAGTAGGAAGGCGCATGAAGTATAGTGGAGTCTGCGGAACCCAGAAAGCCTACTTTCGACGACCAATGGATATGTTCACAATCCGAGACATCATGGGCAACACCTGAAGCAAGTATAGTTGGCCACCATGGCCATTGCAGCAGCTCGAACGCTTGAGGCGTTTGGTGCATGGCCCCCCAAACTGTTCAAAAAACAAGCAGTATCCCAGAGAATCCCCACGGTGATCTGTACATGTCCCCACGCGGTCCTGCTGAACTCCTTATTTTACCAGGTGCCTCGTACGCGATCCGTCCATGGAAACAACCTCAAACACCACACCCGGTTCCTCTCTATGGTCCTCATGATGGCAATGTACCTGAATGCACTGTTCTCGGCAAGGTCGCGGAACGTGATACCTGGGCGCTCGAATACCGCGTCAGTGGAAAGGAGCATCTCTTTAATGTCTTCAAAATCTAAGCTGAGCGCCGCTTCGATGATCGCCAGCTCCACGAGTTGATTCTTCTCGTTCTCCTGAACTTGCGGGCCACTGCCAAAACCTATGGCAGACCCAATCAGAGAACCGACCACCGAGCGGGCATTGACGCGACGGCAACTCTTAGCCCAGCTGAATCCCGCACACCCTGGTCCGCAGCGCTCAACAGGTCAAGGACTTGGTTGAGCCCTTCTCAAAGCACGAGTACGCACTGGATCATTGGCCCACTGAAACTGTCGTAACAGGCTCGTCCCTGGATTACATGATGTGTGCCCGCAACTCGTTCCAGTTGACTTGACGCAGCGTCTTTCAAAACCTGTTCCAACAAGATAGGAGAGCAAAAAGTCAGCAACACCTCTGCGCCGATGCCACTAACTATGGCGCAGAAGCTAGACATGGACCACCGATTAACCTCATCAAACGCATCCTCATGGCCATCATCGGGCCCATGGCACTTCTCAAAGACGGCAACTCATCATCACGACCTTACGGGGGAGGAGGAGGGAGAAGAAAGACCAAGAGGAAGATGAGGGATGAGAGCGGGGAAAGGATGCAAAGGAGGATGACGAGAGAGCGACGTCGGAGGAGGCTGAGGTATGAGGAGGGGGGGCAATTAGTGGAGATTAGGACGAGTAGGAGGACGGAGGACGAGGAGGGTGGGGATACTCCATCGCGATGCGAGATGTGATGACAACGGCAACATCCTCATCCACGTCCCCTTCCTTTCTCCTCCTCAACCTCCTCTGCTTCTGCCTCCTCATCCTCTCGGAAAGCCCTACGATCGTTGTCGTGCCCCTTCCCCATGTTCTCTACCTACCTACATCCTCCTGCCTTGTTTTTCCCCCCCCCCCCTCTCTCTCTTCCTCTATATGAGTACACATGTATATATGCACCTCTTTGTTTATTTGTTTTGTCGTTCTCTCTCTCTCTATTCCTCTTCGTTGTCCCTCTCTCGCTCTCTCTCCCTTGCTCTCTCTCTCTCTTACGCCTACGTGTACCTCCGTGGTTCCCCAATCTGCATCAACAACGCAACGGAACGTCCTCGTTAACATATGGCCGCTAACATCCATGCCGCTGGATGAACGCAGAGATGGCAGCCTCCAGGAGGCTAGAATAGAGTATCGCAAATTTGGATGGAACGTTGTGCCCGTTTCGGCTCCCAACCTTACCGACCGCAAGTGCACCGCAGTCACAATGAAAACCACAACCAACATCGTTTCGAGTACACCCGTCTTTTCCTGATGTCACCCCTTGCTGGCGATCAAATGCACGTACGAGCGCTCTCCGACAATATTACAAAAGCCCACGGAGTTCACCGCGCCGCTCAAATCGTTCACGGCGTCGCAGACAAGACCCGCCCCCTCCACGGACGTCAACAGCTTCTGCAAGTGCCTGCGCGAGAGGGCCTCGCAGATGACCAAACGCCCCCCCGGCCGGAGCACGTGGCGGGCGCTGCGCACGAACCCCTCGGGATCTGCAAACAGGGCGATGGACTGCACACAGAGGACAAAGTCAAAGCAGTCGGCCGGGTAGACCTCGGCCAGCTTGGCCGCGGCGGCAACCTCAAATCTCAGGCCGCCAGGATGGCGGACATCCCCACTCGGTAGCCATCGGCGGCGGCAGAGCTCGATGTGCTCGTCTTCGATGTCGGTCGCCACGTAGCTCCGGGTGCCTGCCACCGTGGCCAGGTAGCGGGCCCCTCCGCCGCGCATGCACCCAACCTCCAGGACGTCCTTACCTCGCAACATGTTCAGGTCTAAAGTGCCGTGTTGGTCTCCGGGCACCGAGGCCACATGCCAGTAGAGCGCCGCACCGTACATCTGAATCCGCCACGGCAGGGTGCCCTCCTCCAGATCGCTGCAGGCCAGGAGGTCTGGCCTCGGAATGGGGCGCCCCAGGTCCGCGCCGCAGTTGCAGATGTCCACCTCTGGTGGGTACATGCTTCCCGAGGATTAGTCGAGCAGGAGATCAAATGCATAATTGATTTGCACCAAAATCCCACCAGCCCTTTGGGCGACAGGTGGTCTAACGAGATTCCTCTTCCCTCTTCCAGAAAACCCTCTTCCCCTGCGGGGAGGGCTTTACCCCTCCCCTTACCCCTCCTTTTGACTTTTTCGGGCCCCCCCGCGAGGTGTCAGGGCGTCCAAAACGGCCTCGGCGAGAAAGCCAAAATCATTAGTTTTACCAAGGTGTTGGCCCCATGTTGGCCTCGTAAGCTGGGGCTGAAAAATATCCCACCAGCCCTCTGGGCGCCCAAATCATTAGTTTTACTCAGGTTGTGGCCCCATTTGGGCATCTTTGGGGTGGGGCTGAACGTTATCCCACCAGCCCTCTGGGCGCCAATTTACTGATATGTTGGCCCCATTTTGGCCTGTTTGGGGGGGGGGAGTCTGAACGTTATCCCCGCTCCTCCAAGATGGCACCAAGAGGCCTTCCAGGGCTCCCAAGAGGGCCCCACGAGAGCCCTTAGAGGGCCCAAGAGGGCCCCATAGGCCTCGAAGACGCCCAAGATGGCCTCCAAGATGGCTAAGATGGCCCCAAGATGCCTCCAAGACGGCCCAAGATGCACCCATGACGGCCTGAGATGGCCTCCAGATGGCCTAAGACGGCCCAAGAGGCCCCCAGGAGGCCCCCGAGACGGCCCAAGAGGCCCCCAGGAGGCCCCCAAGGCGGCCCACTGATTTGCCCCATGTGTTTGAAAGGTTGTGGCATTTGCATCTTTTCGGCATTCCGACGGCTCAAGACGGCCCAAGAGGCCCCCAAGATCGCCCACGAGGCCTCCAAGATGGCGCCATGACGGCCCAAGAGGCCCCCAAGACGGCCCAAGAGGCCTCCAAGAAATCCAAAATGGCCTCCAAGACGGCTAAGATGGCCCTTGGAGCCCAAGATGCACCGAAGACGGCCTAAGATGGCCTCAAGATGGCGCAAGACTGCCCAGGATGCCCCCAAGAGGGCTCCAAGACGGGCCAAAAGGCGTCGAGGAGGTCTTCCAGGAGGGCACGAAGAGGCCAAAATCATTGATTTTCCTGTGGTGTTTGACAGATGTTGGCATTTGCTTCTTATCGGCATTCCGACGGCTCAAGACGGCCCCCAATATTGTCCAAGAGGATTCCAAGATGGCCCCATGACGGCCCAAAAGGCCCCGAGGCCCCCAAGAAGCCCCCAACGGCCCCCAACAACCCTCCAAGAGGCCCCCAGGAAGCTCCCAGGAGGCCCCAAGAGTGACCCAAGAGGCGCCCAAGAGGCCTCCTCCTCCTCCTCCTCCTCCTCCTCCTCCTCCTCAACAGACTCAACAGACTGACGAGCGTCCAGACACTCCAAGAGCACCGAACGCTGACTACAAAGAAGAAACTCCCTCGTCCTGGGTCGAAGTCCAAGGGGTGGAAGCAGGGAACGGGAAAGGGGGAAAGGACGAAAGGGGAAAGGACTTGCCCAGACGCAGGGACGTGCCAGGAACGATCCCTGTGAGAAGCTTAGAACGCTCAGAGGACCGCCTGGGATTCGTGCATGGCTTCAGTAGCTTATCAGCTTTGACCGATGCTGAGCCACCACACAATACACAAAATATGATCGGGGCATCAGACTCCTCACAACGGGCCCAATGCAACTTATGCCCAGTGCCCGCACCACCCTCCAGTAGGGAGCGGATCGTGGGGTTGGGAGCAACGCACGGAGAGGAGGTCTGACCCGACACTACCCTCAGACACCTAAGGCATCTCAAACATTTGCCATGTGCTGAGGGAATGTGCGCAACCCCTTGTTTGACCACTTTGGGCCTCGGGGCCCTGGAAATCTTCCCAAACTGCTGGCTGCAGCTGGGCCACGCCTTGAGAACATGGATGACGCCTGCGACAAGGCTTTGATATTCAAGCTCTCCTTGCTTGAGAGCCTCTAGATCACTTGGTGGAATATTATGCACCTGGGCACCACGCTTAGCAAATAAATCAGCCATGGTCGACCCCGCTAAGTTCAGATAGTCTTCAGCATCGGTGGCAGCACTGAATGAGCGGTGAGCTTTCACCTTGGAAAGAGTCGGCCAAGGATTATTTCGGAGACACTTGCCAATCTCCCGCCAAAAGAAACTGCATTGCGTCCTGCCCGGCAACACCCTCGAGGCGTTCCGAACTCCCGCAAAGAGACCAGAATAGTCAACTCTTATGCTGCTGGCGGCACGATCACTGTTCACATTCCTTCGCAATATAGCGACCGCCAAACCAGCATGTTCTGCAGCACCACTCGACTGTTGGTGCATGGAAGGGAGGGGGCCAAATACCCCTCTGACCAAACTTCCGTCGTCTGACATCGACGCAATCCCAAATCCCGCTCTTGCTGCCTCAGGGGCCTCGCCTTGGTAGCAGGAGCCGTCTGAGAAAAGCGTCTCATCAGGTTCAAAGAAAAAGGGGTCGACTTCCTCTCCTTGCGGCCCTACAAAAGTGAGTTTCCAATCAGAAGCAGGGGCATCTACCTCTGGCATGACAGGCCACAGGCGAGAAAGTAACGCACTATTAGGTCCAGCGGCTCGGACCTGGGCTAAGAATTCTAAACCAAAATGCCCCTGCCTCCTCTCCTCGGCCTCAGGGCAGGGGCACTGCCACATCCTATGCCACGAGGTGTCTTCCGCCGTCTGGCATAGAGGACAGACCTCCTCAACTTGATATCCCCACTGGATCAAAGCAGCCCCAGTGGGAAGAGCTCCAGATAAAATTTGGCGGTAGAGGTGGTTCCCTTCACCATCTTGCTGCTTGGCCGTGCGAACAACTACAGGGAGCCAAAAGCCCTCCCCTACAATTGGACAATCAAATCCTACTTCACGAGCTACTTTCCTCAGGTACCTATTTAGGAAATGCCTACTGAGGTCTCTTGTGAAACCTTCAGCAACAGTTTGGGGCGGGCTCTCAGTCAGAACATAGCGTTGACCACTAGCACTCACGAGGACAGCGGGGCTGTCCCAAGACCAGCCCGCTTCCTGGAGCCACAGTAACATAGCCGATATGGGTCCTTTGGTGCGGACCAGCCAAGACTTGCCCTGAGACTTCCGAAACTCCTTCTCAACCACGTGGAAGGTCTTGCTTAGTTCTCCAGTGCTAATCGCATCCGCATGGCGACGAGGTCCGTACGAGGATTGCTCTGACATGTGCCACCACTCCCAAGCATACCTGTTTAACGCTCCAGCGGCCAGGTGAATGGGGTCGTCCTTGGGGGAGACGGCCCACATGAGGTCAAGGTTGCACCCCCGCTTGCTGACACCTCCAGCTCTGGCAGCAGCCCGTCTGATCCGCAGCAGCTCATGTGGTGTAATTCCTTGCACCTCCATGCCGAAAGAGATCGTAGGAAGAATCCCTGTCTTAAACAACCTCGCTTTCTTACCCTGGGATACCTTCAACCCGCGGAGCTTGGAGATCCTGAAATTGAAAGTTCTAAACCGCTTCTTCCGAACAGCACGAGCAAATCTACACCCTTGATGTTTACCGGCGGTAAAAGCCAAACCCAAATTGGTAGCGGCCCGCTCTCCTCGACCCGCAAGGGACCCTAACTTGGCCAGGATGGTTTTTAGTAACGCATTGGAGTTAGCAGCAGAAACCATCTTCTTCTCGGCCAAGGGGGCCCCCAAATGTTGGGTGATGACGACAGCTAAACTGATTGCCAGATCCTGTAGCTTCTCAACAACCGTCTCGAGTTGGGCCCCCCACGAATGAATGGACATATCATCAACATGCAGACCCAGACTCGTCCCCTCCTGCCCACGATGACTCAAGATGGTGGGTAGAAGAAACGATTTAGCTTCATACGTAGCCGAGGTACTGCCAGCAACAATGCCTCTTTGCGGCCAGACAGGGGCAGCAAAAGCCCCGTCCAACAGCAGCGTCCGCGGCCAACGATACGTGGACAGCGTGTAGAGAAGGATGTGGAGAGGAAACTGAGAAACAACACTCTGCTGTAATAACTTATGATGCGTGATATGCGCATAGAATTGCATGATATCCCACAAGACGGTTCCATAATGCATCCTATGCCCTGTGGTCCTCTCAGCATGCACACTCTGCCTCCACGCCATGTCTAAAGCGCCCCTGCCTTTGCCCATTGAAAACTCAGGACCTAGCCCAACAGCCTCTTCCCACTGACGGCAGGGGTCTCGATGTGTCTTTCCGTGCAGTCTGGCAAAACCATTGTAGTGGCCAATGGGGCGCCTGCCTTTGTCTGGTCCCCCCATGAGAAAGATGGCAAGATGCTGCATCTGCTGTGGTGCTTCCCCCAGGATGTCAACAAGATGGAAGAGATCAGCAAGCACAGAAAGCCCATCTACGCTGAGAAGGCTGGAATGACGAGAATGAAACCCATCAGGCTTGCAAGTGAAAGCCTTGAATCTGGAGCTAATGTGACGCAACGCATCTACGTCTCTCGGCTTTGGAACAGGAATGGCCATGGACGGAAGTACAAAAGGGTTCTGCCTCAATCTTGACATCACTCCCCTGCCACCTTTCCTTCCACATCTCTCTCTCATGCGCAAGTCGAGCGGGCAACGAACTCGTGAACGAGTCACCACATGCAACAACCTCCTCGTTGGCGGGTTTTCCCGTCCTCAAATACGCGTACGCCATTTTCATGCTGGACTCAACCGCTTCGGTGCACCACTGGTTCCATGAGTCCCTGGCCCTGGACCTATCTTCCAAAGATCCCAGATTAGCCCAAACAGCAACGAACTCAAGAGTCTTGTCCAGAATCCCCACGGCGTCTTCTCCCAACGTGGTGCTTCGAAGCGTCCTAGAAATAGAGGAACAGAACTGATGCCAGAAATCACCTCCTGCCCGCCAATGTCGACGGAAAAGGCCACCACGTTCAGGTAGATCATCCCACTGTCCGAGAAGATCACAGAAATACTTCCCAAGAGCCCTTTTCCTGATGAGGGTCCTAAGCTCCTTGACGCGGTTCAGAACCCATAGAATGGGGCGCCCTGGGTACGCATTTTTATAATGCTTAGTGGCAAGCAACTTGGAGAGCTGAATCTCTGAGAACTCCATGGGGGCCCCGCCAGCAAGCCCCGAGACTCCATGACATTGGCCAGCACCTAATATCTCTCTCCAAGCTCTTGGAGCCCACTGCGAGTACACTTCATTGAGGATCTCAAGGCCTGTGTCCCTACGAGTCCCAAAGACCATGTGGGCAACTCCATCGGGGTCCCGACACCCCTCGATGAACTCACCAAGTTTCATAGCCAGGTCCTCATAAGATGGTGGCTCCTCTTTGGGTCCGATGGCTGGCTGGTGGGGTACCTCTTGGTAGGTCTTGGGGATCCTGACCTTGATCTCCTGGATCATCTTTTTCACGTGGAGCAAAACGGGTCTGCGCGGGCTGAACGGAGCCTGCAGGTCGACGTGGATCGTCGGGACTGCGTAGTCGACCACCCTGCTTATGATGAAGTAGTCGAGCACCGACGAGCCCGCTCCAACGCATGCGGGCGCACTTGCGGCCCTGATGACACAACCAAGCTGCTTGGGAACATGGTTGTACAGAACATGCGGCTCCATGTTGAAGTCGCCCCCAATGATGAAGGGTAAATTGTGTTTGAAACAGTCATCCCATATCGCAGTAAGGACTTCTTTGTTGACCCCTGAAAGTCCTACCGAATCTTTGAGGTACACTGAGTAGATGACCAGCACCCCAAGTCTGGCACTTCTGAAGAAACATCTGAACACTCTCCCAGGATAGATGACGGCCGATACACCAGGCGGGTTCCACGTGTCGAAGTGGTTCTTGACGACCACGAAGGTTCCACCCGACACAAAACCTGACTCTAGCTGAACTCCTGGACATCCATACACTTTCCATCCACTCCGTTGCAGTCTGGAGACCTGAAACTGAAACAGCCTCCCTTGTAGACGGTGTTCCTGCAACAAATTGATGTCTCCGATCGTAGTCTGCATAAAGTCACGAAAACTCGCTTTATCCTTGCCCGAGATGCCCTCCAGTTCTGCTTCAGTGTCAGATAACCAACTGGAACCATTGAACGTGACAATGAACATCCTCCGAACATTCTCCTCAGTCATTGACCCATGCCCGAGTACCCTACCTTCATGTGGAAATTGTCCTTCATGAGGGGCGCTGCACCGATCCTCCAGCGATTCTGCCGAGGCCGAGGCTTCCCAGCGTGCTTCCACGCCGAGTGAGCGTGCCTCCATCGGCGCTCTGCTCGACATGGTGACCTCTGGGTGCTGCGAAGCCTGGGCAGTCTCCACTATCTCAGGATCGGAGAGTGCGGCCCCAGGTCGCGAAATACACCTCGATCTGGCAATCGATCGAGACGGGATACCTGAATGAGCAACACCTCTGCCCACTCTGTTCGACATGGTGATCCCTGGAGGCTCCAACGCAACGGCAGTCTCCAATATGTCTGGCTCGGAGAGTGCGGCCCCGATAGTAGCCGAGGTCTCGTCGTCGGTCGTAGTATCTCCAAGCCGAGTAGAACACTGTTGGGTCTCACGCATTTTCCCAGCTCTGCTGCTGGTCGGTCTCATACTCACGCGCCCTGCACGGGCGCCCCCTGGGAACTGAACGAACTCTTGGCGGCGTCCTGGAGTGACGTGCTGGCGGTCCTGCTCGTTCGCGTTCTCGAGCTTTTCGAAACGCATGCTCACGAAACTTCCCCACCAGCTTCGACCGAGCTTCATCGGACACCCCTGCCGCAGCACACACCTCATCCAAGTCGTCGTCCTCGAACTCCATGAGCCCAGGTACGGCTTGGTGGACTGCATGTGCATCCTCCCCCCGGTGTGCTTCCCCGTTTCCGCTCGAGCCCGTTGGGCCTGCACGGGATGGAAGCGCACCTTTGATAGAGTCCACCAGGCCAGCATATTGAGATTCCAATTGGTTTCTGACTTCCTCCTGGCCCAAGGATGCAATGATCTTTTGGAAATTCTCGAACTGCTGTAATACACACTCCATTGTTGGCAGACTCTGGCCCAAACGCATAGACGCTTGACGGCGTGCCTCCTCGACAGCTTTCTTTTCTTGAGCAATTGAGTCCACCAAAGCTTCACGCTGGTCTTTGAGTTCCAAAATGTACTCATCCAGTTCCGTGAGATCCTTTTCCAAGCGCTCCACCTTCTTCGACCGACGGGCCTCCTCCTGCTCAGCACGGTATAGGACCTGACTCGGGGGAATCGAAGAGCGCTTGACCTCCTGAGTTGCCTCCCGGGCAGCGTTGATCCCCTCCTTGGCGGCAGAGGGCAATGAATCTTTGAAACGTCCATTTGGGCCGATAAGCTGCATGAGGCGGTGAAGTTCGTCGACAGCCCCCGCAGGTTTTGACCCCTGATTGGCAGCTCCTGTGTCGCCTCCTCCCTGTCGGCGTCTGCTGGCTGGTATGTCCCAGGCCCCATTGGAGCCGGATTTCTGCCACGGCGCACGGGGCTCCATGACTTTCGGGAGAGGAGACTTGCAATGATAACATAAACGAAAGTGATGAGGGTTCTTCCTGCAGCCGCATGTGGAGCAGATGATCTGCCCGCTCGCAACCCCATCACGACCATAGACCCCTCGGCGCATCCCGCACCGATCTGGGGTTGAGAGAAACTTGGGCACAAGGGGTGCCCCTCCCGCGAAAAAGAATGCCTGAATCACCTCACTTGACCAGGTCGTGGGGCGTCAAAATCGGGGGCCGCTGACTCCCCCACGCCAGTAAGGTCAAGTCCTGAGCCCAACGGCTACGGACTTGAGCCAAAATGGCTACGGTCCTCCTCCTCCTCCTCCTCCTCCTCCTCCTCCTCCTCCTCCTCCTCCTCCTCCTCCTCCTCCTCCTCCTCCTCCTCCTCCCCCCCCTCGCCCCCACGCGGCCCCCAGGGATGGCACGAAGAGGCCTTCCAAGGCCACCCCTTTGCTTTCAGAGATCTCTCGGTTCATCCTGGTTGCTCGCTTTGTTTCCCTTCATGTGCCCCTTCGTCCCTTTTCCCGTCAACTCTCGTGGGCAAGGCTTCTGAATGGGCTGGTGGGGATACATTTTGTCGGTCGCAGCCGCAAGCGAAGGCGCAGGCGGCGTCAAAGGTCGACCCGGGCTACGGGCGGAGCCTAATTACCCAGCGAGCGCACTCACGGCTGGTGGTGGTTTTTTTTCCGTCGCAGCCGCAGGCGAAGGCGCGCAGCGGCGTCACAAGTCAGCTCGGGCTACGAGCAGAACTAATTGACCTAGCGCGCACAAGCGGCTGCAGGACTACAGCCGGGGGACGCTGGGCTGCGCCGCTGGGGGGGTACGCTTTTGGTCAACAGGCTCGCGAGGCGGGTCGAAAGCCGTCCGATCACTAACTGGTGGGGGTACTTTTTTGGTCTGCGGGCTCGCGAAACAAGTCGAAAGCCGTCCGATCACCAGCCGGGCCGCGACTAGGCAGCAAGACAAGAGAGGGGCAAGCGAAGCGAGCGCGCGGGCAGCCACTCAGGAGGAGCACCAGGCACCAGAAGCGGCACTCCCAAGCTGGCGGGGGCACGCGAAGCGTGAAGACTTGATTTGCTCGTCGAATCGCCGCAATTTTTCCTTACTAGATGCGACAGAAGATCAACTCCGGCGTAAAGAAACTCTGCAGTTGATCCCCTACTCGAATCAGAGGAAGAGAAAAGTGCACGGGCAGAGACTCGCAGAGGCCCGCGCGGAGATTCCTTGGACCGGCGCTGCGCCCCCGCCCCCCTGGCACGCGGAGAGCGGCGGGGGGCGGCGCCTGGAGCGCGTGGGGCCCGGCTCCGCTGCAAGAGACCTCCGCGCGGGCCTCCGCAAACGTGTGGGCTCATTCGGAAGCCGCGCAAAGGCTGCTAAGTCCGTGGCTGCCAAAATCGACCTCCGGGAAGTTGTCTTCGTCCTGCCGGGAAGGAGCCCGTGGACTGTTTCGCGTGCCGCGCCTCCTTCCGGGAAGCTGTTTTCTCCTTCCAGGAGGGCCGCTTTAGCAGCCACGGTTTTCGCAGCCCTCGCCCAGCTTTTTCGACTCATGCCGTGTTCTCTTCCTTCGAGGACTGCAGTGCGCTCCTGCACTGCCGCAGGCCCTCCACGAAGGCACCCCACATGCTCTTCTGGGACAGCCCGCGCGGCACCCCAGCCGCGCCGGCGGCGCCGCTGCCACACGCCGCCGAGGCCGCCCGCGACGCGGGGAACCGGAGGGCCCTCCGGACGGCCGCCATGATCTCAGGAGTGACGGCGACGATCGGAGAACTGGACAGCGCAAAGGAGAAACAACAGCATAACCATACACGCTCCGAGCTCCGGATGTTTTTGTGTTTATACATTTGTTCCTCCTTTGTTGAACTCATGCACCAATAGCATCTTGATTCACATCGTTCTTATGAGCGATGTCAGGTACGCTACGGCAAGTTCCTGCATTGACCACGTGGGCCCTGCTCTCTGGCACTGCGTGAACCGTCCAAATCTCACCATCTCCATTTCGAAGACTGTCATCAATCCCATCACGCGCGAGAATTTCGCACCCTGAGGCACGAAACAAGCCTCACGAAGGCGTTCAACCATGCACGCTGGCGCTGGCGACGCCACCGCTTCCGTACTGATAGTTCAAACAATACGATGTGGGGGAGAACGTTGTAGCTTGCCGTGGTTGGCACTTCATCAACACATCGCAAGAAGCAACCCGCTCATCGGCCCTGGGCACCGTGAGGCACTGACGCCCCAGTGGGCGACGAGCTTACAGACTCGGCCAGTGCCTCCCATTCTGGGCGAAGGGGGAGAAGGACAAGAAAGAGGAGGGCGGAGGCGGAAGGAAGGAGGAGCAGAGGCTCGGATCGACTCGGCTGGCGGGCACGTCTGAACAACAGCGCCGCCTGAGGAGAGGACCGACTCGGCCGGCGGGCGCGTCCGGAACCACAGCACCCTCTGGGGCTGCCCGCTGGAGCCATCGGTGCGGAGGCTACCAGTCCCGAAAGCGTTGCGAAGCTCATCCTATGCCGCCTTGCCTGGAGGGGCAGGGGCGCGAAGGGAAGCAGCCCGAGGACCGCGAGACCGGACGCGCCACCATGGGGCAGCGCCGGCCTGGGTCAGCCAAGGCCACGTCGCGAACATTGGCTGCCCGCAGAGCAGCTCCCAAGCCTGGAACAGGGGAAGACGGGGAGGGTTGGCTTCTCGCTGGGTGACCATGCGCAAGAGTGACCTGGGGTGCTCGGACTCAGGGGCGCAAGGTGGCCAAATCCAAGCGCGCGAGCAGCCATTGACGCATCGCGCTCAGCGATCGGGGGGGGACCCCGATGAGCCCCCACCAAAGGTCACTCCGGCGAAGGGTCACTCTTACGTGTAATCGGAGAGGGGGTCGGTCCCACGTAGCTCCCCAAACCGGGTCAACCAGAGGTGACTGGATGACCCCGCCCCCACTGTCAGCGCCCCGACCTGAGCACTCGATCCCATCCCGGGACCAATTGCTCCTGGCTGGTATGTTTGCTTGTTGCGTCTGTTGGTTTCTGGGAGCGGTCATTAGAGGCGAAGACAGAAGGAAGCACGCCCGTCGCATTTTGTCCGCGAAACCTGCAGGTCTGGGCGCAGCGGGCGGATTCCGCACAGCGCCGCGACTTAGCGCGCGCACGCGGCCACCCTGGCACAAGCCAGAGAGGAAGACGGCGGTCAAAAATACTCAGCATGCGTGCAGCCATGGGGGCGCTATGGGATGAGCTGCCGCAAATGGGGGGGGATGGAGGGCAGAGGGGGGCCAGGAGTACGACGAGGCCATTGATGGGTCGGGGGCGAGGGAGAAGAGGACGGGGAGGCGGAAAAGAACGAAAAGGCACCGCAGCGCAACTGCTGCCAGCGGGGGTCCTGCTCAGGCCGCCTGGCGCGGTCGCAGCCGCATCCCAGATCAGGGCTGTGTCGTTGCCCAGTGTTGGGGATTGCGGCATCAGATCGCGCACTAAAATAGGCATGGCGGCGTCCTTCTCAATTCCCATCCCAGGGATGACAAGAAAGAGGAGGAAGAGGAGGACGAAGACGAGACGGAAGAGAAGGAAGAAGAGGAGGAGAAGGAGAAGGAGGCGGACTACGAGAAGGAGGCGGAGGAGGAGGATGAGGAGGAGGGTTAAGAAGACGAAGTGGACAACCTCGGTGGCGACGACGTCATGGCGCGGGGAGCGTTCGACTTGATAGTGGTCAGCAACTCCGGCAAGGGCGAGCGGGTGCAGGTTCCCCAGCGCTCCCTGGGCGCCGCAGCCATCTTCTTGTTCAGACCCGCGGTTGTCAGCTTCGCAACGGCGTTGTTGGCAGCAGAGGCGTGAATGTGTCACATGATGTGGCGCGATGTTCAGGAACACGCAGGGGTGATAGCTTCTGCCATGGTGGTGACTCGCCTCGTTCTATGTTGGTAGCAGCCTTGGCCTCTCTTGAGGCTGGCAACGTTGACATGTTTTTCAATTGGCTTCGAGGGTGATGGATTCACGGGAGAAGGGAGGCAGTTTCATTTACTGTGTTGTATGGCGTGCACGTGTACAGTTGGCTGGAGTGCTGCATCGATACTAAAACTGGCACGAATGAGCTGAGGCTGGCAGTTTCATTGCCGTGTTCTATGGCGTACACTTGTCCCGTTGGCTGGGGGGTGCATAGGTGTCCTGGCATGTATGAACTCAAGCTGGTGGTTATTTCGTGGTCGTGTCGGTCCCGAGGGCCGGTCGGCGTGTGTGTCCTACCCGATCGATGGTGTGCCGAAGCGTTGGCGGTAGGCTCCCCGTCTTCGGCTCCGCGCTCCTTGAGATTGGTAAGTACGGAGGTGCAATCAGAGGACGTTGGGGAGGTCCTCTCCTAAGTTCGAGGCTGTCTTGCGCGGCGGGTCAGACCTTTTAAAGACTCCACAGGCTCCAGAGAAGGCGACAAGGTCATTTGGGAAGGTGGGGCAGGCGGGAGAGAAGGGGGGGGAGGAAGCGGGTGAAAACGAAGGGGGTAATAAAACAGGTGCAGGCGGAAGAGAAGGGAGGGGAGGAGGCGGAAGGCGAGAGGACGGAATTGGTAAGGGAGGAGGAGGAGAGAAGAAGAAAGGGGGAGCGGGGGCGTGGAAGAGGACGAGAAGCAGCAGGGAAGAGGCAGGTGGAAGGGGGATCATCGGGACGAGGATGTAGGATGAGATGCCACACGATGAGGTGGGAGCTAGGAGCAGCAGGGAGGAGCAGAAGGGAGGAGGAGGAGGAGGACGACGACGACAACGACGAGGCGGAAGGTGCATGGGAAGGGGGAGGGGGACGAGGCTGCGCGAGGCAAGGGGTAGGCAGGGGTAGGCAGGGAAGGGGGACGAGGCAGAGGAGGAGGAGGAGGAGGAGGAGGAGGAGGAGGAGGAGGAGGAGGAGGAGGGCGAGGAGGAGGAGGAGGAGGAGGAGGAGGAGGAGGAGGGCCAGGCGTTCCTGTCCCCCAGCGTGCGTCTGGAAGCCCCTGCTGTCGGGCCGTCACTGCCCTGCCCGTTGGGCCGCCTCCGCCCTCCCTTCCGGACGTGCGCGGCCCCTCCGCGGCGCCGGCCCGTCGGGCCCGACGGGCCTATATAGTCACGAGGCGAGCACTGACGCCGCGGCGAGGAGGCGAGGCGAGGAGGCCTGGCGGGCCCGCCGCCCGACGGGGAGGCGACGAGGCCCGACTGGGAGGCGAGGAGGCGAGGGGGCCCCCCCGGCGCCGCGGCGAGAGGCCCGGCGGGCCCAGCCGCGGGGACGACGCCACCCGCGCACGCGGAGGCGCGAGGCGCCGACTCCCCCGAGGGCAGACAGCAGTGCTGCCGCGGGCAATGGCTACCTACCAGACCACCCCAACCCAACCCGAAGACCCGACTTCTGGGTGGGGGGGGGGGGTACGGGTTCCACACGTGTTTTCTTCAATGCTCCCCGACCCCCCCCCCTCTGGAAGTGGGGGGCACATCGGGGCCTTCGGGTTGGGTCGGGGTGGTTTGGTGGGTGGTGAGGCCAGCGCGTGCTGCGGGCCCCCCCAAAAAACATCCGCGCCCACACGCACACAAAAACACGACCGCGCGCGAAGGCAAAAAGACGGCGCCGCCCGAGCACGGAGGTCGTGCCCGCCGCCCCGTGGGCACACCGCGGGCCAGAGCCGCCTGGCTTCAAGGGGGGGGGGGGGAGGCGAAGCACGCCGCCCCCTCCGCCCCGCGTTGAACGCCCGAAATGGGCACACGCCGCGGCGGCGCGGACAGCGAAATCCGGTTCAGAATGAGCAAAACTGCTGTTGGGCATCGTACCCGTCCTCTCCGTGCCCGTGTCGGTCGCCCCGACCCGCGCGGCCGCCGCTACGCACGGCGACACGCCCCGCCACTCCCGCACTGGCCGCAGACCACGTGGAAGAGGTCCTGCGGCTCGGCCGCGGGCGGGCCCGCACACCGGTTCGTGGCCCCGCACGCACGGCACGTAAACAGGCAGTCCTCGCCAGGAGCGGGGTGGGGGCGTCGCCGTCGCCGCCGTCGGCGCCCTCGGAGAGGACCCATGGCCGAGGTCTTGGGGAAACCGAGGGGTACCAATACACCGCTACTCCCCGGACCTCTCCTGGGGCTCGCTCTGACCAGAATCCCGAGGCGAATCCAGCGGTGGCGAATCTCGAAGGACGGGCCCGACTTAATCCTGGACTTATGATGTTTCAACCTACTTTAGCCTTGATCACCAGAAATAATTTCGAGCACCAAGAAACCACCGAAATTGGAAGGTTTTCACGTGTCGGGCCCTGGGAGGCGATACTCGTTCGACACTGTTTCGATGGTTTTCTCGGTGCTCGAAATCTTTTTTGGGATTTGGTCCTTAAGTACAATGGGAGCAACATAATCAATCATGGGCCCGCCCTGAGTTTTTTCTCGCGGCCGCGGGATGCCTGCTGGAGGCCTTCACGGACCCTCGCCAAGAGGTGGGGGCGTCGCCGTCGCCGCCGTCGGCGCCGACGTCCGCGTCCTCGAGCGGGGCCTACGCTCGAGGTTGCAGTCCGTATTTCGGGTCGGGCGAAAGGGGGGGATAGCAAAAAGGGGGGGGCTTGAGAATCGGCTCACGAAGCTGATTTTCCCGGCGCCTCCTGGCGCCGGAGGCGGCGATGTATCGAGGAATGGGCCCCTGGGTGGGGCCGAAACCAGCTGCATGCGGCAGATTTCGTAACCCCCCCCTCTCCCAATCTCCCCCTTTCGCCCGGCCCGACAAGGGACTCGGAAATCCCTCCGGCGCCAGGAGGCGCCGGAGGCGGCGATGTATCGAGGAATGGGCCCCCGGGTGGGGCCGAAACCAGCTGCATGCAGCAAATTTCGTACCCCCCCCTTTTCCCAGTCCCCCCCCTTTCGTCCGGCCCGAGGTCGGGCTCCAAGCCCGAGGCACTCTTTGCGAGGGCCCACCAGGACAGGAGCTCTCGGAGGAGGAAGACCAGCACCACGAGGAGGGGGGGGGGGAAGAGGCGTAGAAAGGCGGCGTAGAGGAGGGGAAGAGAGAACAGAAGAAGAAACGACGCCATAAGCATAAACGTCTTGCGCTCCGAGCTGGATGCTGTTGGATCTGCGCTGGACCCCCCCTCCTTGGCGCGAGGGGGCGCGCCCGGGGCGGCGCCGGAGGCGCCGCTGGGGGGGGGGGCCCAGCGCGGATCCAAGAAATCCAGCGCGGAGCGCCAGACGTTTATGTTTATGGCGTTTGTTTCTCCTCTTCGAGAGAAAGGCAAAGAGAAACAAAAGAAGACACACATACTTAAAGCAGAAGAGGAGGGTTGTTGGCAGATCGGACAGGATCAGGCTCGTGGAACTCGGGGGCGTCAGCGGAGGGGGCACCAGGAGGAGGTGGAGCAGGCGGAAAAAAGTATGCGAAAGAGGAGCAGCACGAGGAATTGGCGGCGCAGGGGCGGACTTCTCAGAAGGCACGGGCTTCCTGTGAGGGGACTACGGGTTTCTCAGAGTGCTTGCTGTAGCAGCAATGTGGGCACGCCGCTCCGTGCCTCTCAAGACTGCCGTCGCCCTCGCCCGGCCCGCGGCCAAGAGCCGTCCAAAACCGGCTCCCAGACCCTCCTGGGATCCACCCTGACCAGCTTTTCAGGCTGAGCCCAGCGCTGCGACGACGAGAGCAGCCGGAGACCAAGCAAGACCCGAAAGCGAGGAGGCGGGGAGGCGGAGCGGAGCGGAGCCGACCACCCGTGCGAGAGGGAAGTCCTACTCGGTACCGAGTTGAGCGTGGCTTGTGCACCGCATAGGCTCTCGAGCAGCGCTGCGGCTCCCTCCGCGCGCGCCAGCGGAGCTACGGCACGAAGCCCCGATGGTCTGCGAGCGGGCCTCCTAGGACGGGACCCTCCTCCTCCTCCTCCTCCTCCTGCTCCCCCTGTCCCTCCTCCTCCTCCCCCTATCCCTCCTCCTCCTCCCCCTGTCCCTCCTCCTCCTCCTCCTCCTCCTCCTCCTCCTCCTCCTCCTCCTCTTCGTCCTTCTCCTACTCCCTCCTCCTCCCCTCCTCCCCTCCTCCTCCTCCTCCTCCTCCTCCCTCCTCCTCCTCCTCCTCCTCCTCCTTCTTCCCCTCCTCCTCCAGAAAGGAGGAGGAAGATAAGGAGCAGGAGGCGGACGACGACCTCTCACCTCCTACGAGTCTTGGCGTGTGAAAATCAGCGGCGGCCCCGCGAGTGGGGCCCCACTTCTGTGCCATCCGCAAGATAGGGAATGCCCCCCCAAAGGAGCACCAGGGATATCCAAGATTGAAGGGGCCCTGGGACACACAAATAAATAGACACAAATAACAAGATGTCCCATATGTTCTCATATTTTCTGGGTTTTTGTCGTCCCCCCCACTTCCCATGTTTTCCTACATTTTCTGGGGAATCCACGATTAATTGTGTCTGTGTGTTTTTTCCCCTCCTGACAGATGTCGGATGCAGCGACAGCATCATGACAAAGAAGCCCGTTGAGCAAAGGTGCGGTCGCCAACGGTGAACAAACTGCTGCCATCGCCGAGAGCAAGAGGGGCCTCGATTCGTCTTGGGAGCTAACGGTGTAGCCACGCAGAGGCACGCAGAGGCACACGGTCTGGGGCACCAACAATCGCGACGCTCTCCGACCTTAGGGCGGTTCAAGTGCCCTCTAGAACGAAACCTCACTCCCAAGCTTTCGAGACATAAAACGATGTTTAACGATACGCTTCCAATGTTGCGCTTAATGGCCCTTCAACGAACCATCACTACCCAGCAACAAAACCTTGGCTTTGTAGGTTCTCCACCTCGTCGCAATGCCGACTCTACAGAGCGCACACCAACTTCCCGAGCATGTCCATCCTCTGCCTTTGATTATTCAAATGCCTTTACGTGTCCGCGTCGTCCTGGGCCGAACTATCGCTTCGAGCGAGCTCTTCAGCTACTGGAGGTTCAACGTCCTGGAGCAGGGCGCAAACCACCGTCTGGCCGGTGGCGTTTTCCTGACACTTGCTGGCTTTGTCTTGAAGATCGCACATACTTTTCAACACCTCGTCCAATTCATCATCAATTCTCTTGAAAAACGACTCCAGCTCCCGTCATGGTCCCCAGACAGTGCTTGCCCTTCGGGGCTCTTACTTCTGTTCCAGGGAACTGGGTCTGATTGTCAGTCTCGCGTCTATGTTGTCGCAGTCGCCGCCCCGTCGCCGCATGCCAGTCGTCTGGGCCTGATTGCCGGTATGGCAGCTATGCTGTCGCCGTCGCCAGCCCGTCGCCGCCTCGTCACAACTGTGCATTACTTTGCATGACGCTGCATTGCTTTGTATTGGTCCGCAGTGCTATGCATCGTTTTGCATTGCTTCGCATTGCTTTACACTGCTTCTCATTGCTCTGAATAGCATTGCAATGTTTTGCATTGTTCTGCATTGCTTTGCATTGTGCTGCATGGCTTTGCATTGATGTGCGTTGCGTTGTATTGTTTTGCATTGCTTCGCATTGCTCTGAATAGCATTGCATGGCTTTGCACTGTAATGTTTTGCAGTGTGCTGCGTTGCTTTGCGTGGCTTTGCGTTGCTTTGCATCTCTTTGCATTGCTTTGCGTTGCTTTGCACTGCTTTTTATTGCTGTGCATTGGTTTGCGTTGCCGTGCGTTGCGTTGCATTGCTTTGCATTGTTGCCTTGCTTTGCACTGTTTTGCATTGCACTGCACTGTTCTGCTTTACTTTGCATCGCCTACCATCACATTGCTTCGCATTGGTT